GTGTGCGTAAGACCAGCTCCAGACGCAATGTAGGTGACCTTTATCTCTGTAAATGCCAAATGTGCATGGATTACTCTTTGCAGGCTTCCGGGAGCGATGGGTCTTGCGTTCCCTCCAACTGCTATACGACCATCCTCTGACGCGTGATATCACTCCGTGGCCCCCCCCCCCCCCCCCCGCCCCTCCCCAAACCTCATTTAGATTCCAGTTTTTTTCACAAGAGCGAGAGGATGGCAAATATGTTGTGGAGACAACTGACCGCGATCAAGGCGGGCTGCGCATCATGAGAGGGCGATGCGAGCTTTTACGACGTGCGAACAGCTGCCACCAAACTAAAGCCGGCCACATCGAGGACATATGGAGCGGCGGCTCGGAGGCGTCTGGCGCGGCGCTGGATCCCGAAACCAGCTGGCAGGACGAGCTGAAACACTGCGCACAAGAGCGTGCCACGGGCGCACACGTTGGGTCCGACCTCGGCGGGGAATCGTTCCCGGGGACGAAACTGACTCGGCGATGGCGCGTCGATGAGGAATGACTCTGTCCAAGCGGGGTGGATGAAGCCCTCGGCGGTGTCATGCGTCTTGCCCCGCAGCCAAGCGCGCAACCCCTGCGGCTCCTAGTCCCTCTCCTGCTGGCCACGGGGGTCATCGCCTCCCCGGTCATCTCGGCCGGCTGCCCGGACAGGTGCGTCTGCGACGACCAGCTGGTGGTCCAGTGCGCCGGGCAGCACCTGAGCGCGTTCCCCGCGGACCTGCCGCTGGCCACGCGGCAGCTCATCCTCTCCAACAACCTCATCGCGGAGCTGCCGCCCCTCGGGCTCAACTACCTCTCCGACCTGGTGTACCTGGACTGCAGCAACAACTCCCTGACGGAGATATCCGAGTCCACGTTCGGGAACCTGCGCAAGCTGGCCTACCTGGACCTCTCCTTCAACACCTTGGCGCGGATCGAGGGCAGGACGTTCGGCCCCTTGGCCAGCCTGGTGATGCTGAGGATGACGGACAACCCGGGGCTCTCGGAGATCCACCCGGACGCCTTCGCGGAGAACGAGGCCCTCCAGGTGCTGGACGTGAGCCGGAACAACCTGACGGTCCTCAACGTCACCTCCCTGATCGCGCTGCCCGCGCTGCGCTCCGTGGGGCTCAGCGGGAACCCGTGGCTCTGCGAGTGCGAGAACGAGGACCTCTGCCTGTGGGTTCACCTGGAGGGCTTCAAGTTCCAAGGTTCTGTCACTCGTTTTTCCATTAAATTTGTTCTCATTTCATTTGTGCACAGCACTAGAATCGTCATCCACCGTTCAGATTAAGTCAGTTACTCTAAGGAAAACATAAAAAAGAGCATTTCTTTAAAAAAGATTGAAAGAAATGCAAGTACCAAATGTGAAACAGCATATCCATGAAAAATATCCCTTACAAATAACTTCTGAAGTATGCAAGATGCTATATTATTGGCAGCAATATGCTGTAAATGTAATAAAGATGACATATTTTACCCTATTTTTTCACAAGCTGACATATTGAGTTTATTTTTTTCTTGCAGAATTTAAGTGGGAGCTAATATTCCCAATTCATAGAGAACTGGTCCATGTTAGTGAAACACATCAAGATCCACATGTTAGTATTCTGGTCAGTTTGCTTCCTCGACACAAATTGACAGCAAAAAAGATGGAATTTGTTGCTGATCCAGCTGTGTTTTTTTTTTTTTAGGAATTATTCTATGGGTTTTTTCCCCCAAAAGCAACAAGTTTACTTTGGTGTTCTTGATACCCTTAGTTTCCAAATGCAGACTGGAAAATAAGTCGGTTGCATTAGAAGAAGAGACTATAAAATTTAGTGTTTAGTGTTTAGACCTGATGCTGCCAAGATGCAGTGAAAGATTAATCTTGAAGTTAGGTGGAGACAGGGAGGATGGGAATTCCTTTGTGTTTGGATGTACTCCATCACATTTATTTGTTATTTGAAATGAACATTTTTCATTTTTTCCCAATTTAGTCCGAGTCAAATGGAAGCTGAATGTGCAGTCATGTGGAGATGAAAATGAAAATGATTTTTGAAAGAGGTTTTTACATTTAATATAATGAGAGAACATCACACGACATGTTAAACATGCCAGTATTTATTTCACAAAAAACGTGTGTGGAAAGTTTATTTTGGTCACTTCCAAGGGCATTAAGAAGGTAAGCTGATAAATAGAATAAAATAAAATAGAACGGAAAAAAAAGGTAAGCTGATGGCAGGTTAAAAAAAACAACAAAAAAAACAAAGTTTTCGGGTGTGTGTTCACACAATGCCTAGGAGGAAAGACATCAGCCATGATCCAAAACAATTGTTTCTCTCTGTTGATGCATATGCATGAACTGACAGTTAGCAGACGGTTCTCAGTTCAAATGTCCACATTATTTCTTACCCAGGTTCATCAGGGAAAAGGCTGAATGTGGCGAATGCGCCAAAGATTAAAGAGACTGCACAGCTGTGTGGTGGCTGGCACTGTCGCCTCACAGCTGGGGACTTCCTTGTTTGAAGCCCAGCTGGGGGCCTTCCTGTGTAGAATTTGCATGTTTTCCCCGTGATTGCTTGAGTCCGAAAGCATGCCTGAGTGGCCGTCTGCTTCGGTTCGTCCTGATGTGACCCTGCTATGGATTGCTGACCTGTCCAGGTTATACCTCGCCTCTCACCCAATCACAGCTGGAACAGACTCCAGCCCTCCCGATGACCCTGCTGGGAAATAAGAAGGGACAGCGAACGGTGATCTTTGTGATTTTCCGCCAGGCTCTGACTGCATTTTGTAGCCCCAGCTGTCCTCTGCTAATTCTTTAAGCCTATTGTGACCTTCTGTTTATGAGGAATATGAAAGGGCCATCCTCCGATGCTCATCTTCTCCCTTTAGAAGTCTGCTCTCCATGGCGCACTTCAATATTGGGATTCCAAAGCCTCCTTCCTGTTTGCTTTAAAGATTACGGGTATGCCAAATGGAAAATAAGACCGTTCTGCCGGCCTTCGCATTTCGCCCCAGAACCCCTTCAGCCGTGCTCAGTTTGGTAAACTCTGCACCTCTTTCTCATCTTTCAAGCGAGGTGAAAGATGAGAAAGCGTTGGAGCTAGTAGGGCTATCGAATAACGAAAATCGAAGAGAAGAGAGGAAGCCACTTGGTTTGTCTGTCGGCGACTTGGCCCATTTGTCTAGCTCCAGAGGGGAAAAAAAACAAAACAAAACAGGGGCCCTTTTTTTTTGTCCATATTCCTTTTCAGCTCCTGGGACCCGGAGCTGCAGCTGTGATTAATGAATCATGGCCGCGCCATCAAATATTGATCGGGCCTTTGTTATCTAACTGCCAACCGGAGAGATGTCTCCGGCGTTCCGCAATACGTCTGACGTTCATTCAATATGCTGTCATTGGCACGTCTTAGCGAGCGTGAGAGCAGTCGCACTGTGGATTTGATATAATACGATCGCCACGCTCCCAGAAAGCCCCCCCCCCCCACTGAGAGCCCCCAGTCTCGAGGCTGTCACCGCACAGTTCACCACGGTCCCCGCCGAGCTGAGCCCAATTTCTGAAACGGGCCCTCTTGGAGATGGCCTATTTTCCTGCCGCTTGTCGCCTTTTGTCGAGCTTAATTCGGGCTGGAGCCTCTCCCGGTGACAGCTGCCAGGAAGGGAGAAAAAGTGGGCACTCGGAAGCACATATTTTTGGTCTCTGCAGTCACAGCCTGTCAGTCTTTAGCGAGGAGGAACGCAGCACATTTTTAGATCATCTCTCCTATAGGTACGACCTGGTTGGAGCCGCACGAAAGGACCAACCATGGTTCCTTTTTTGCATCGATTTAGGAAACGCCGCGATGGCGAGCGAGCACGAGACAAAGTGAGAAAAAAAAAGGCCTCCGGAAGGAACCAACAGATTCTCCTCTGTCTCGTCTCCCTGGCTGGATTAGCACCCGTTCAGCTGTTATATAAGGAGAGCGTCTCTAAACCGAGTGTGGTTGGTGGAAGGAGGGAGGGAGGGAGAAGGAGGGAGAGAAGGAGAGAGGGAAAGCCCTCTTCTTTGATGCCAGTCCCTTTGGGTTACGGGCTAATGAGGCCAGGAGGGTTTCCTTCCCGTGTTTGTGTTTTTTCGTCGGGCAATCGGCGTAAGCTGGCTCTGAGGGGACGGAAGTGGAAGCTCGGGATCTGAAGCAGAGGAAGGCGTCCTTATCGTTGCGTGCTAAATTTGTCGGGAGGAATCGGGCCCGAGTGCACTTCCACATGGAGAGAGTGTGTTTGAGTTTGTGTGAGCAGAGCGTTGCAGCTTCAGCTAGGAGGATCGTTGCGCTCTTTGATATTTCTGGCAGACAGAGCTCAGCCTGACAGATCCTCCTAGTGTTTTTCTGAGCCCCAGACAGGCTTCTCTGAGAAAAAGCCCAGAGATTTAGACGTTAGGAGATGGAAAGTCACATAATCTTTTGAAAGTAAAGTGTCAAATGATTTGATTGACATCAAAGGTTCGCTCCGGTCCCTCTCTTTTCAGATCGCTCCTTTCACCATGCCCTAAGCGCATATTTAAACACTAGAGCTGCATTTTGACTCTTACAGCTTACGAAAATCCCAAATCAAGCTTACAAATAAGATGAAATAGTTGCTTTCGCAGACGGAGAATGCGGGAATGGAATCTTGACAGGTTGGCAGTCCATCAAACCTTCAAATGAACAACCATCCACGCTCATATTCTGTTTAGAGTTAGCTCGGTGTGCATGATTCCGGGCTGTGGGAAGAAATCCGGAGTGCCGGGTGAAATGTGACACACTCAAAGAGGACGATATCAACTCTGAAAGCTCAGACTAAAAAAAAACTAAAGTCAGATAGCTGATGTAGAACTTTGAACGGGGTGCAAAATGTTTGCTGGTCCCCAAACTACTTATCGTTTAAGTCATTCACTCAGTTCACGTCCACTCACACACATTGTGCCTTATCTCTTCCTGCTGATGTGGGAACTCTTCAGAGGAGCATGGAGGAATGAACAGATGGCTGAGGGAATGTGAAACCTTCAAAGGAAGCTCCGCTGTGAGACTTTGCAATTACACAGTGTTAATTAAAATGTATCCAAAATCGTACATTTTTATACCCAGAAGATGGGAAGCATAACTAAAAAATGATAATTATTAGCTTGATATTTGCCTAAAGTGGTCTTTAAGCAAATATCAAGTGACTAATGAAGATTCCATCCATTTTCCGGTTCATATGGAAAGCACATAAACACAGTTTTCCCGATTTTTTCCCTGCCGGCGCGGGAATCTGGCTCAAGGAAACTTCTTTCTGCAGAAAAAGTTTGCATCGTTTGATCTCTCCCAATGGGAATTCCCCCTGTAACATAGCAAAAGAAAAAAAACAAAACAGCTGCTCTATGGAGGAAGCGCTCTGTCTGGTTGCAGCTTGTGCTCACAATTAGCTCATCCCACCGCCAGCCTTTGAGATTGTTTATCTGGAAAATATGTCTCCGCCGTCAGCTGCTGTGGAGCGCGTCGTCCATCATGTCGTGCACTTCATTTTGCCTGAAAGTCCTTTTCCTGTTTTTAATTAAATGAGTTTTTTTTTTACGCAGCACCAAATCGGAAAACAAATGTCACTTCAAGGCACCTCAAAGAGTAAATCAGGCCCCTGAGAATACCATTCACTGTAATTTAAGCATAATTAAATCAAGTTATCCATCCATCCTTTTTCTATACCCGCTTATTTAATTAAGAAGGGCTGGAACCTATCCTAGCAAACACTGGGTGAGTGGATGGGCACGCACTGTTCAGGTCAGCAGTCCTCAGTTAAATCAAATGAATTCCTTTCAAATTTGCAACAAAAATGAACAGATTGCACCTGAAAATGTCTTTGATCCAATCCCCTGTTCTGTTCTGAGCATACACAAATCCATACAGTTTTCTGGGAGAATGGGAACTAAACATTTAGTTTTTGGCAGGTCTTAGTCGAAGTCGTACCTAATGCCTGAAGACGAGAAATCTTATTTTCAAAGGCCTGAGCGACTCGCCTAATCCTGCACATAGAAAAGGAGTTTGAATAATTCATTCACATTTTTTTTCTTTTGTAAATCACTGCTGCACCAGTTTAAGAGAAAGGAGCCCAAGAAGCCCCCTTAAACATCAGGGTTTTCTGGTAAAGAAGGCCAGATACCCCCCCATCCGGCTGTCATCCTAATACTTAAAGGATCCTTTAAAGTAATGTGTTCATTTACATAAAAAATATTCTGTACGCTGTCCAGGGTGTACCCTGCCTCTCGCCCGTTGACCACTGGGATAGGCTCCAGTTCCCCCCGCGACCCCATGAGGGAATAAGCGGTATTGATAATGGATGGATGGATGGATATTCTGTACGTTTGACAGACAATAATACGTTTGACAAACAGATTATTTTCGAGCTCTCTAAAATTCCAGGATTCAGAGTTTTTTTCTGGAGATAAAATAACCACACAGTGGGATATCTGTTTAAGATGGAGTAACTTAAGCCATTCCTCTCAAAAAGACTCAGGAATTTTCACTGTAAAATTGCCTTAAAACGAATGCTAATTTCTCAGATTATGAGTTGCAAAAACCTCTGATCTGATGAAACGAAAGACTGAACTTTTTTGCCATAATTCACCATTGTGCGCATTGTGGGGAACGCTGGACACAGAAGATCATTTCAGAGGATCATTTCATCGAACTCTGAAAAACTAAAGGTCCATGAAAACGGTCCAGTCATTCCCTCTGGAGTTTACATGTTAAATGGAATTTTTACATTCTTATATGTTTTCTTCCTCCTTGTTGTGGCAAATACATTTGAAACCATGGATAGTTTTTGTGCAGGCAAAATAAGTCTATTATCCAATCAATTAAGGTGGTTTTTGTGGTTTGCTTTCCACAAACTTGTCCTGACCCTTCTTTTCACCTGTCAAAAAAGCATGTACCCACACAGGTGCATGCTGGTCCCTCACCCGTGTTAATTCTTTTGCATGAAAGTACATGCAGCTAGATGTGGAAACTGCAGATTTTCTTCAAAACAAAACCTTAAAAATCCCAAACCTTATCACCAAACAAAGTCCAGTCAACCGAAAAAAAAAGTTAAATAAAATGCTCAAACATTTTTTTTTTAGATGTAAATGCTTGAATTTTTATTCAAGTGGGTGTTCTTTTTAAAGGAAATCACTGGTTTGAAACCAATTCCAAGAATTTCAAAGTCAATCAATGATAATCGTCCTGTTAATCATCATGCGAAAAAGAAAAAAAAAAGAATCTCCTCAATAGTCAAGTCAAGTCAAGTAGGCTTTATTGTCGATTTCTTTACATGCGCTGGTCATACAAAGAATTGAAATTGCGTTTCATACTCTTCCATGCAGACATAAACATAGATTTTAGGTGTGGACATAGACAGTTAGACAAAGACAGTATACATGCATTACACCTAAACAATACCATACAGACATATAAAGTGCAAGACTGGGCAACAGCAGACATACATTGAACATAGGAAAGAGGTTTTGTTGTGCATTTCCAGTTACGTCCTATTTTGAGGATTCTGACAGTGATAGTAGCATTGTGTAATATAATAAATATAAAGTGATCAATTGTAATGTGCAATATATGCAACTAGTTGGTACTTAGTTTTCCAATACAGTCAATACAGATCTCCCTTAGTTGATCAAGTGCATTACAATATAAATCTCGATTCCTATGATTTGTCCTTTGCTAAAACGCTTTTTTTTAAATATTACAGTCAGTGCTTTTTTGTTCAAGATCTAAAATTTATTTATTTATTTATTTAATCAGGACAGTGCACATTAATGAACAATCTCATACAGATTGTAAATGAGCCAGATTCTAGCATAGTTGCTAGTTTACATCTGTCGTCCTGAGGCAGGAAGATCAAACAACACAAAATCACAAAACACAAAATCAGTCCAAACACACGTTCAGACAATGACATTACAAAATTGAAATTAATTCAATTCAATTCAATTTCATTTATATAGCGCCACATCACAACAACAGTTGTCTCACAGCGCTTTCCAAACAGAGCAGGTCAGACCCTACTCTGAAGTTAATTACAGAAACCCAACAATTCCCACCATGAGCAAGCACTAGGCGACTCAGGCAAGGAAAAACTTCCTTTTAACAGGCAGAAACCTCGAGCACAACCATGGCTCAGGGTGGGCGGCCATCTATGCTATATGCATCACAATGTTGCACGATTAATGTTGGTCCCCGCTCCCTGGTGTGTCTCTGTGTGGCAGATGAGGGGCAGACGGTGTGCGGCTCGCCCCTGGACATGCAGGGCCGCCGTCTGGGCGAGATGGGCGTCCAGCTACGGACGTTGTGCCACCAGACTCTGGGCTCCTGGGACTACCTCTTCTTCGTCGCCATCGGCTTCGTCATCTTCGCCGCCGGCACCGTGTCGGCCTGGCTGATGGGCGTCGTCATGGTTCTCTACGAGCGCTACATCAAGAAGAAGGACGAGCAGCTGGACGTGGAGGACGAGGAGGACGGCAACGAGCCGGGTCCCCAGGCGAGAGCCGACAGGAGTTTAAAAGGCACAATCACTGTTTAAAAAAAATCCAGATCCCGCGACGCCTGCTATGGATTCCCACAGTGCCTCTTGTCAACCCCCCCCGCGACTGTCTTTGAAAGGTCAAGCTGAAAAAGAAGGATTCCGCTGAGATAAGGAATGTCTTTTTTTGTCCTTTGTGGCGGGCTTCCGGGTGACGTAACACGTTTTGTTGTTACCATGGTGGAATTCCCCAGTACTGAGAGAACTATAGACTATATATGCAAAAATTTTTGACTTGGTATGTCCATTTGCGTTGTTTATGACTGAAAAGCGGCCTAAAAAAATAGCAGTCTATATCAGTTAAACTGCTACTCATGGAGGGAGGTGGCTGGCCATGTTATTAAAGAGGTCATGTGATCATCCACTGATTCCTAATGATGTTTTGCTTTAGTTTTGTTTGGAGGGTGGGGGGTATTTAATCAAATTTATCTGCTATATTGAAAAAGAAAGAAAACATTCTCACTCAGTATGTGACTGCAGCACTTTGTCGTATCTCCTAGCTCGTCGCCCCAGATCTGGGAGGAATTTTGTCTTCTGCATTTGTCTGAGACATAAAAGTCAGACATGATTTTTTTTTTTTTTAGCTTGTCAACAAGGTTTGAAAAGCGAGAACAAATTGGAAAGCAAACAAAGCACTTCAGGCAGTTCTGAGGCGAAGTTTTCGAGGAGAGAACAACTTGTTTGTTGGTATGGATTTTGTCCTATGTGACTCTGCAGGCCTACATGCACACAAAGTAATATACCATGCTGGAAATCTAGAAAGCCCACAAAAGCACAACATGGCTTCTTTTACATGGATTTTCTTCATCTCTGTGCATCTGTAAAATCTAGGCCAACGTCGGCATGAATTCTGCACTCAGCAGCCATTTAAAAATTTACTAAAATAAAGCAACGGGTTATCTTAAGCTAACAAAAAGCACAAAAGCGATCTAAAAGTGATGCTACTTCTAAACTAAAGCATGTTTCTATTGTTTCTATTGCAACATAATTTTCTGACCTCAGCAATGAGAAATGAAGGTGTTCTGCAGTTTTATTCTAGGGACTTTTTAACATGAAACATTTCTGTGACCGTTAAATTCCAATTAAATTCCAGAGTGATTGCACAGACCTGAATCCATAAAGTCCATAAAAAAGACAGTCCTCAGTGAACAAGTTCATTCTTTAAGTCATACCCAGAAACCATTTTGAAACAACTGGGAGGGTTAAAAAAAACTATACATAGCATGTGTCCTCACAAAAATTTGTTTTATAAAAAATGAATTAAGTGTAAAGGTTTTATGAGGGGTCATAGAGTGGATTTTATCAATTCATGAAGGGACTAAGGGGAAAAGATGAGGGATTTTGCACTATTTCCATTACCAGAAGTGAGATGCCGCCCACTGGGACTTGAAGAGATGCAAATACGTTGCTTTGGGATGACGTGAAGCGTAGGGAAAGGGTGTTTGCTGGTTTGCTACGGTGCATGTGTCACTCTCTATCTGTACATTGCCACTCACGTCAAGTGACAGCTCCGTCCAGTCTCTCGCCGCATCCCTGGGTTGTTTGCTCGGTGAAAAATACGCCCGCCATACCCAGCTAAAAAAAAAAAGAAAAGAAAAAAAAACTGTTTAAAAAGAAAATATAGCTAAAGCTATAGCTAAAGAAGCATGCATCACATACACCCGTAAAGGGCATCCTTGGTTCTAGGGAGTTTCCCTTAATTAGCCACAGGGTTCTCGTTCCATCCTCCCAAAAACACGCCATGGAGTAAAAAAAAAAAAGAATCATTCTTTTTACGTCACCACCTATGCCTTACTGGAGAACATTTTTCTGGTTGCCTCGTCACGTTTGAGTCGGTAACCTCTCTCGTTCGGTGTTGTAAATGAACATAATTCTTTTAATTAGTTTGAAATCGAGGTGAGATGGATTTGAAAGGCACTGTTGGTGGGATATGAGTGAGGCTGAGAATGGGATGAGATGCTTTTTGACATCTCTGATTTCTCATTGAGTTGATTTAAATTTCCTATTCCGTTGAATACATCAGTGACCAGGAAAAATGACATTTCCAAACAATTTAACAACACTTTCATACACACTACAGATATTGTAAGTGTTGTTCTGGCCATTTCTTTAGGGACTTTCATAATGGCACCAATTAAATTAGAGATGTAAATTGTTACAACAGCTCTCTGAAGCATTTTATAATTCGATTCGCGATCTGCTAGGAGAGCCGATTCATTCCAACTGAGGAGGTCTGGTTTGGGAAGCACCTGTTAGGAATTGAGGATTTTCTGATTTTGGGTTTGGTTTTTCCTTGTCTTGATTCGGTTTTAATAATTGTGCTCTTGAGTTGTCGGTTTGGAGAGGTATTTGTAATTGCCTGGTCTTGATTTTGGCTTTGCACACACAGTTAGATTCCTGTTTCGGTCAGATCATCCTTTGCTTTTTGGTTTTCAGCCCCAGTACAAAGACATTCTCTTTTGCTCAGCTCCGTCTTTATCAGATACTTGATGTTATCCACACCCCCTTTCCACCCTCAGGAATTTCTCTGTTCATCTTTCATTCACTGCTCTTCTTTTATTACCATCAGGTTTGTTTTGTATAGAGTTTTGTTGTTGTCTTTTTGGTTGTTTTTTTTGGTTTGGTTCTTGGTATTCCAGCTCAGCTGTTTTTGGTTCAAACATCTCAAATAAAACTCAAGTTAAGCCTCCTTCTGCCTCCTGTCTGCTGCTCCTCAATCGGATCCTCTTTTCCCCACTCATCACGCCTAAAAGCAGCCCTCTTTGTGAGTCTCATAGAGACACATATGCGTTACATTTCTATTATTTATTTCAACGTCGGACCTTTTCCTTTTATGTTTGACTGTTATAACAGTATACTTTTGAATAGACACATAATTTACACAAAAATTGACAGCTCTTTTTTTTATGGGTGCAAATGTTTATGGGAAAATAAATATAACCGTCAGTGAGAGTTTCCTGTTTTACATATTCATGAATTACTTGAGAGAAATCATGGAGAAGAGGGTTCCCAGTTATCGCCACAGCTGTGCTCTGCTAAATTGTTTTGGTCTAAATGTATCTTTCTATTCATGAGGCTTATGAAGAGGCTTTACCCTCATATTCAACCTCTTTTCATTGTAATCTCACAAAACTTTATAATTCAATAATTGCCTCCATTTAAATGTATTTTGACACCAACGCTTGTTTGTATTGTTCCTGTGTAATACGTTATGTCTCAGAATAATCAGTTCAATTAAATGACAAATAAACCTTTTAAAAGAATTTGAGTGGAATGGATTAAAGTTATGGTTCAAGTAGTAAAGTCCAAGAGGGGATTTTTTTTATGTATACATTATAGGATAGGAGGCACTGTAAACAGGTTAGAATAACAAAGTGACACTTTCTTGGCCTATTGGATCCAGGATTTAAAATTCTACTACTGAAATTGGATTATTAAAATCAGCTTTAGAGTGTGTTGGATACTGTGTTGTTTTGATGAAGAATAACACAACATAAACAGACTGGCTGAGCTGTATTTCCAGTGAAAATGACCCCAGTGACTTGGGAAATTCAGCCAAAATTGACGTTTGATTGAGAAAAAAAAGGCTGCTATTTATTGTCGAGCCCCGACAAAAAGACCCGGGAATGAATTATTCATATTGTGCTTGCTGTGTCTCGTTATATAAAAGAGCAGTCCTGACTCATAGCAGCATGTACTGTATAACTATGCATGGAGCAATCTAAACATAATGTCACAGAATGCGTAAGTGTGTGCCAGAAACGTCAGTCCCACGATGGTGTGTTGCGTCTGTCATCGGCATGCTGAGATACCTGAGAACATTTTAATAAGTTGTTTCTGATTGTGCGCAGGGCTTTGGTCGTTTGCACATTTGCATGGGTTCCCTGAGTTTATACGTGCATAATGTGCGTGTTTCCTAAGGTCTCGTCTATACATGCATTCTTATTCATACATATTCAGCTGTGATGGCTCTTACTTTCCGCTAATCACACTGATTAGACCATAATGCCACAGGCAAGGGTGAATGCGAAGACTATAAATAAGATAGATGGTTGCCCTAATTCCTGTCAGCACAGTGACACACATGGAATGACAGGGAGTACCCAAATCTGTCTTTCTTACTATTACCGTGACAGACATTGCACAACAAGGAAACAGACTGAATTTTAGTGATAGTTATATTAAGTGGATGAACTGAATTGCAGCATTCTGCACTTTTAACTCCCCCACACTAACTCCATATTTAGGCACATGCATGAATGTGTTTAAACGCAGAGAAACAAAGGCATCAGCTCTGCCTCCGACATGAATCACCTCTGGATAGAGCGCTGTGTAAAAGCTTAGAGGGACTCTCACTAGCAGCGTTAACCAGAAAAGCATCATCCCACACCGTGTGCCATTTTAATCTCCACTGTTCAGTAATTGTTATGATCGGCTTCCTTTCTGAGGGTGGGAGGAATGACACCACTCCTATGTTGTTATGCTCAAACTGAACTTACAGGGAGTTTCTTAGTAGCCTGGTGAAGCATGAAGGTTCAGCTCTCGTCGAAAGAAAAATAAAAAATTTAACAGATAGAATATTTGATAATTGTCATATAAAAAAATCATCATATTTCCAAAATGGAAAAATATTTATTTTGCTTTTATGACGGAGATATTGCTTTTGGATTCATTTGATTTTCCTTCCAAGTATCTTTTCAAATGCTGCTTTTGCATTCGGTTGTCGTTTTCTTTTAACTTTGACTTGTTTTCCATACTATATTAGATATCCAAGGACAGGAAAACATCTTTGCTTTCTGCAAAACAGACATGCTGTGTCAAAATATCCCCTTGGCTGGGCAGCTGTTTCCAGTAAACAGGCTGGACGGATTCATTATTCCTGTCGGGGAAAAAAAAAGCTCCTTTAAAAGGTTCTTCTTTTTCGGTTTTGACTGTTATATTTATTATTTGAGGCCACATTCTCCGGCCAAGACACTGAGCAAGGATGTTCAAACGATATAAATATTGTTGTCACGCTTAAAAGTGCTCGTGTTTGGTCAGGATGCACTTCTGGACAGAGCATAACTGGCCACATCAGTACCACAGTGGTGGCTGTGAGCCAGTTAAACGAATGGAGGCGCGACTGCAAACAGCCACTGGATGCAGAAGCTCTTGCAGCCCCTATCCCTGCCCGTGGGTGTTAAACTCACATTCATGCGCCATTGTGCGCGTTCACTGAGCTGAAGGCAGTCTGGCCTCTACAAAACGCCTGCAGATGGGAGCTGTGACATCAAGTAAGAGCGGCTCTAACCGACCGTAATAGCTTTCTGACACATATACTTATGAACACGCTCACACGCATTTGGCTTTTCTATCCTCACGGGGACACTGTATGGAAAAACAGCATGACCTCTAGTCTGCTGCCCTAGTCATATACATTACAACGTGAAGCCTGACCCAAAGCCTTGCTCTAAACCGTGCCCAATTCAAACGGCTAAAACCAAGTCATAACCCCCTTAAAAATCCTTTGGATCAATTGAGATGAAAATATTTAGAAGGGAGACTCCATCGATGGGTGTCCTGCCTATTTTCCCTCATGGCCCTCATGGTGATACAAGAATAAACACACACACACATATGAAGGGAGAGAAAAGCTAATCTGTTTGTCCGACAGTGGAATGACATGCCCCAGCATTGGAGATGAGGGATGCGTTCCACTGACCGGAGCTCGGAAAATGGATTTGTCAGTTCGGATTATTCCAAGACACTTTCATCATTAACCTCCACAAAGATAGATGACGGAACGAAATGACTCGCGCCGTACCCTGAACCCCTTAAAGCCACAACTCTGAAACTCGAAGTGAAATGGTGTGACTGGCGCTATATTAAGACGGATGCATTTCTTATGCCGTGTGTGGCGTGTGCTTTGGATTTCCACTCTCATTCAGCCCAAATGGCTTGCCATTTGGCTTTGTTTCTGACCATGTGCATGCGCATAGAAAAAAGAGGAGCTGTAGCCGAGCAGACTAATTGCCGGCTGCAAATGCAATTTCAATGCCCCTCTGTGACGTGCTGTCTGCTGTCTGTCTGTAAAAGTGGAATAAACTTACCAATTGATTGATGGGAATGAAGAAAACTCAGCCTCTGCTGAGCATAGAGGAGGACAGTCCTGTTATTGTAACATATCTGCACTCAGGCTCAGGGGCCTGCCATATCTGTATCCTTCCCCAGCAATAAAAGGTCATTCCAGAAGAGATGGTGTCCTTTTGTGCATAACAGTGCCCGGAGATGTTTTTTTTTTTCTTCTTTTTTTTCTTTTTTTTTCTTGTCTCTCAGTTTCTCCCACTCTGATCCTCTGCTCTATGAATGTTGCTTTTTCTTCTCTCTTTTTTTTCTCTGTTTGGAAGCTTAGCCGGTGCCTAATTAGCTTTCAGATAGAAAAAGCTGTGAGTCAGACGCACGCATTTGCGCTGCAGGAACTCCTGCACTCCCGTGGAAAGACACACACTGGACACACACTGCACACACAATTAAGAGCTGGTGACGTTTGCCATGGTGCATCAGTGTATTCTGGTAGCCCAGACCGGTTTCACTTGTGTTCATTCCAACAGAGCTGGCTGCACAAGTGAGATAACAAGATGCCTATTCCCACTAAGCTCGCAACTCCAAAGCAGGACAGGGATATTCCAGACTGAGGCGGGGAATCTGCAAACTGGTCTAGGTATTTTTTTCGCATGAGCAGATGTGGAGCACGACAAGGGGCTTTAATTCTCGTTTGACTCACCGAATGCCTCTTATATCCACCATGTCTTGCTTTGTCCCCCACTTACTAATCTATCTCTCCATCTTTTCTATTTCTGGCTCTGCGTCTATTTTAGCACCTGTCATTTTCTCTTGTGCCGTTTTTATTTCTGGTTGTTTCCCAGCACATGTCCCGGTTTCGGGAAATTCTTGCTGGGATTTGATCGCCACCGCTCTCAAATGTGTCACCCTTGTTTAATCAGCCTTTCTGAGCTGGGCCAGTCACAGTGATTATCTAATATGTGGTAGGTTTGATATGATAAGACAGTACAGTGGATGGCTTTTGAAGCACGCCACTCCGTGCTGCTTTGCGTGAGTTTGTGCTCTTACTGGACAAGAGATCTGCCCTGTTGCACTCCTTTATGTAATACCTTTGAACACTGCTTAGCGTTCCCACGTCTCTATGCGCCGTATGTCCACTTCATGTGGTGCTGCTCATTTACAATCACTCAACAATGAGCCTATCAGAGGTCAAATAATGGTAATTGGGTGCATTTCCTTAGGAAAAATGGGTCCAGGATGAAACCATTAACTTTCCAAGCTGCTGCATGCCCACAGGCATTTTAGTCCAAACACAACCCAAAGGATTTCTTTGGGTTGTGAATTCAGACTTTTGTTTTAACCTTTGTGTTTTCAACAACATCACAGAGTTCAATTATTATCAATTACCTTTCTTCTTTTGAGCTCAACCAAATTTGCTAAAAACTTATTTTTTTCCCCCCTTCTTATAACCCATCGCTGTAGGTAGAACTGGCCCCGGAGTTCTTTCCCTCTTTAGGTTACCCCTTTTGTAAAGTGCACAAAAGCGATGGGTTGCGTTTCACTCGAATATTGATACGCTGTGGTTAACACGTGCTCACCATTACTGCCCTCCTAGGATGTATTCTATTCCTTCAACACGGCAAACAGTGCCAAAACCCCATACAGTTTTCATGCATTTGGCATGTTTGCTCAAACACGTGAGAGGTGGGGTAGGTAGCCTCTGTCCTACCCTGCCCATGGTAACTCAACTCTATGTTTTCTTTAGTGCACTTGACCTTTGATCCCAAATGACTGCCCGTTTGTCAAATATGACCCTTGATCATTTTCTGCATTTCCCTTAGATTATACTGTCTATGACCGGTGAAGGAAGAAATATCCTCCATAAACTAAAAGCTAGAATATAGTTGTTAGACCTTTCTTAAATTTGTTTAAGAGATTTTAAGAAGAAGAAGAAAAAAAAAGGAGGGGGGCAAACCAAGGGGATTTCAATCTTAACAGTCAAAGACGGCGGTGCAGCTAAAAAATTCATGTCAGCTCGTTAATCCACTTTTCAAAAGGAATCATAAATAGGCCAACTTATAATAGACACTGTGGAGCTGCTCTGTCTTCCATCTGCATTACATAAAACGTAATGAATTCCGCATCGAGGCTACTGGAAGAGAGACGGAGTGCGAGAGCGGAGCATGAGAGATTTTCACAGAGCTTTGGAAAGAAGCCTTTGGCACAGACTTAGAAACAAACAAAAAAAAGAAAAGAAAGAAAAACACTTATAATATTATTTTGAATCTATACATTCGCTGATCATTTACACAAACACAATTTCAGCGAGCAAAAAACATTGCACAGCCACAGAACTACAGAGACCTCCACTGGTAGGTTTTAGAAATGTACAATAATTCCCCAGCTTCGAACTAAATAGATTCAGAAAAAAAAAAACACTGATCATATCTAATATTCTGTACATAGTACATAAAACATTCTATTAAACGGTCATTCTAAAAGGCCTTTACATGGACTCCATGTCGAGGAAGTTTAAGCAGCCGTGCAGACACATGTAATCAAATGAAGACGTTTGCCTTTTTAATTGCGTTAAGTGTTTTGGGGCTCTGTGGCTGTGGAGGGACTGCGGAGGGACTCCTCCGTCATGGAGAGGATGCTGTCCGAGAGGCGCTTGACGTTGCGGTGTGTGTCGGGGTGTGCAGCCACAGCCTTCAGCAGCTCGGTCAGACCCTCCCTCTCCAGCATGCCGCCGTAATGGGAGGCTGGGAGACGAAAGTGATAAGAGAGACAGACAGAGAACCGAGCCAAAGCCCACACAGCACCTGAGTGTTCGTAGACCAGATGGTGTAAATGGAGCTATTCAGCATTACATAAGGCGTGTAGTTTGGAGAAATACATAAAAAGTCACAGTCAGCTTAATTTGAAAGGAAAATGGTTTCATGATATTAAGGCGGGGGTTCGTGTACAGAGTTGGAGATCCACATATTGCTCCTTACTGTTTTGAGTGCAGACTAGATGTATGGCCCATACTGCCCATAGCTGCACTCCTGAAGGCTGACATGTCTGAATGAGGGGGCAAAATGGACGGAAAGACCTGAAACGAAGACATCACAAAACGAGAGAGAACAGATCATCTAATGAGGATGGATAGAGCAGATTTGCATCCTTTTGTTTGTGCCAGATGGTCACTTTACTTTTTTTTTTTACAGCATCAATATGATCTGTGAGTGACAGATAAAGGGTTCCTCTCAGAACAAAACAAAACAAAATTCAAGCTTTGGATATTTTTCTGGCTAAATTCAAGTACTTTCTTCTTTTAAATGCACCTACAGTTTAAAACAGGTATCATCAGGTACAAGAAATAAATACGCATAAACCACAATACACAAAAAAAACTGTTTTAAATGTGTGTAGAGTCAAAGCAATGTAGCTGAAACCAAAGAAATATTTCAAAGAAGCTGCAAATAGGTTAGTCTCACCGGTAAGACACCATTTCTCTCTCAAGGTGGGTCCATGCCATTATTGATTCGTGCTGAAAAAAACAAAGGATATTTTTTTATTTAAGGAGCAGTTGGTGAGTTTGCAGTCCATTTTAAGATGACAAAACACACACCAGTTGCTTCAGTATGGTGGCGCGCAGCTCGTCGTCCAGAGTCCAGGCCCCCGCTCTGGAGGCCAGCTGGGCCAGAATCCCCCCCGCGAAGTAACGGACCCCCACCTCCAACTGGGAGTCCTGCAGCAGACTGACGATGTGCTCCAGCAGGTCCTCGTCCATCAGGTCGGCCTGCAGCTCCTCCACCTCAGCGATGTTGTTCTGAAAGCGAGGAAAAGCAGAGGTCTGTGCTCCACTTAGTTCAGCCACAGCGATCAAAGAAAAACGTTTCATTTTTAGCTCAGAAGCACCTTTAGAAAAGGACATTGGGACAGAAGGCTGCAATATCATCAGTAATAACAAGAAACAACTGGGTTGGGTGAACAAAGAGCACGGGAGAGAGGCAGAGTCTCTCAGAAGTAAACATGAATTGAGTTTTAGCAATGTGCAAAAACAATATCTAGAAAATTTTCAAGTAATGTTACTCTAATTCTCCTCATAGTAAGATCCATCTGTCCATTTTCCATCCATTGAGGTGGGGTACACTAACATTCACTCCTAGGGGCAATTTAGAATATCCAATTAACCTAACCACCACACCACTGGAAGATCGTGAAGCTGAATATTTAATCATCTAGGGCACATTTCATCATGTTTAAACTATATGAGAGACCGTAGACCGTTACTTCTACAGAGAGTATCAAGGAATAGAAATCTACAGGTCTTAAGGCTACCCCACATTGAAAAGAGACAAGATTCTGTATGTTTAAGCTCTATTTTACAAAAAGAACGGCCAAATGTGAATGTGATCAAATAACTGCTCTCCTTTAAAAGAAGGGGATGCTATACACAGTTAAACATGTCCCTGACCCATTTTTTTTCTTTTGTTTTAAATGAAATTGATCAAATGTTTCATTTTGATCATCCGATGTGGTAAAAACTGTTGTTTTACAAGATTTCCACATCATCGAATTCAGGTTTTATTTGTCCCTCTTTCGTTTATTACAATATTCCATCTTTTTTTCCAGCACTCCATCAACAAACGCCGTACTCACCAAAAGGCCGAGAATTTTCTGCTGAATGGACGGTTCATTGCAGTAGGACTGGGATGCCAAAAGAAGGGGGAAGAATAAAAGGAAAAGATCTGGTTGCACAGAATGATAAAGGTTTGTTTTTTTGCATCAATCCATCTATTAGCACTTCTTTTTGCTCTTTTTTTTTTTTTTTTTTAATTTTTTTTTAAGTTACCTCCAAAACCTCTTCGTACAACTCCAGGCCCTTGCACTCGATGAAGTTGTGAGCGGCGGCGGGCATCTCATCCGTCAGGTTCCACAGAGCGCTCAGGGCGAATTTCAGAGTGGAGTCCACAACTCCCACCATGGCTTTCTGCTGAACGATGGCCAGCAGCTGCTGTAAGGCATTGACAGCAGGGGCAGGGAAGACGAAGGAGGTGGAGAGGAAGGGAAGAAAACTGAAAAATAACATGAGACTGCCGAACGCTGCTCGTTAAAACATGACCTGTGCATGCTGAAAAGGACATCTTAAGAGTAAATCACAGACAAAAAGAGGTGAGCAAATAGTAAACGGACAGGAAATTGAGAAGAAGTGCAGGGATGCGAGTGCCCGTGACAACAGACAGATGAGGGCATTCTCAAAAATTCCAATTAGACTTTCAGAATAAGTGCTAACCTGAGGATGATTTGTGAATTTGAAATGAAATACTAAGGAATACCCATGTACCTTCATAAAAAAGACATCCTCGCTGAGCCGGGCTGTCTCCGCTGTGGACAACTGCACAAAAAAAAACACAAAAAAACATGGTCTTTTAAATGGTTTATCCTTCCACTTTAACACCAATTTAGATGAAAGAATATTTCCGCGCATAGGGAAACTTCTCGCATTTATCTGCAATTAGTGACAGATCAAAGCCGGGCCGGTCGCACAGATGTACACGCTGCCTTCCCGGCAGCCCACGCACGCGCACGGCAAATGAGAGCGGGGCTTCACCTTTCCCACCAGAATGGAGATGACAGCCACAGCCATCCTCTGAAGGGTCAGGTCCTCGTAGCTGCTCAGCCAGTTAATCACCAGTGTGGCGGCTAAATGCCTGAATCGTGACCACAGCGTGGGCGAGAGGAAAACACAGCACAGGGAAAACACACGACTGTGACTCACAGAATAACTTTGGTGACAGCAGGAAAGGGTTTTTTTTTAGGTTTTTGGCTTTTGCAACCTTACTTTGTAATAGTATTTAGCAGGAAAACGCTAATTTTTAATACTGTCAGTGAAACTGGAGTTGGCTTAAACATTCAAATCAGTTGGCTTAAACATGTCTAAACATAAAAATACAGTATATCATATCCAGTGTCAGTGCAACTGAAAGTCCGTCTCTATCAGTCTTATACCCTTAGACTATGTCTAATGATGCTTTTGTGAACAATAGATGGAATTTCTTTTTCTTTCTTCAGCATATCACTTTCATATATTGTTCATCGGCTTCAGATATTCTTTTCCTCACATTGTTCAAGCGCACACTGCATATTCCTCTGATAAATGCCATTTTTTGTGCTAAAATCTCTTATGAGATCACCTTGTTAATGAAAAAAAGTTTATTTTTTTCTGTTCTGGGCTTTTATAAACTGCTGCTAATGAAATGGGAACAATAAGCATGTTTGAAGTTGCGCCTTTGCTAAGTTTTATATTATGTGAGACACACCACTTGATACTGTGAATTCTTTTGCAAGAATGACTCATAAGTCGGCAAACAAACTATGAAAATTAAATTAAATGATATTAAAATGTTTTAACCTGTACATTCTTATTCCTACTAAAAATATCCCTCGAAAAATGGTCTGGTGTATGAGTGTGCAGTCAATGAGTGATTAACACCTTCTTGAAGCCTTTTTTAAGAAGGTGTTGCTCAATAATACTTGAAACCATAAAAAGGCAGCCTGGATCCTTGGAAGAAAGAACTGAAGGATTGCTTAAAACCTACAGAGTGGTGTTTCCATACAATACATTGTACGTACTGGTCCTTTTATTATAAAATAAACTAACTTGTCGAAAGGAACTTCCTGCAGGATGTAGTCGCTGCAGAGCGCCAGCAGACAGTTCTTTTGCACCTGGGAAGACATAAACGGTGGATTCCAGTGGTCAGCTCCAGTGGTTCGGGCCATCTGGTCCCACGTTTTGCTGTGATGGCGATCAGAAAGTCTCGGTGTTCTGTCAGGTCAGCATACCCCGACAGACCAGGATACCCATAGTCAATACGCATGCGTATGACGTCAGATTTTCGCATGCCCCATGCCCCGTCTGACCACCATACCCATGGTTTAAGGTAAACACACAAACTTACCAGAAAACAACACCAAAAGTCAAGTACTTTTGTTAACAAATTAACTAATGCTAATGCTTAATGCTATTGGTAACAATTTCGTATTTAAAGCATGTGCAGTCCCTGGAAAATTAGAAGATATAAGCAAATAAAAAACGTGGCAAAATTGTACATCAATTTGATCATCGATTGAACTGTTCCTTTGATCCCAACATTGAACAAGATTATCATTACTTTTTATGTGCTAACTACAACCTTGCTGGTAGTAAGCATCATGCTCACGTTTGATTCACTTCAATTAATCTGTATCCAAGATGACGTAATGTCCACATCAAAATCAACGATTGGCTGGGCGGCAGGTGTGTTTTGTATGGGGATGCGTTTTGTAGATGGCTGCAGGTGCAGCTAGACCCTTCTGTAAATACACTTTAAACTACCTCAACGCGCGAGTATCCCTTTAGTTTTGTACGAAAAATACACTGTAAACTACCTCAACAGGCGTGTATACCTTTTGTTATGTACGAAAGGTATGGCGATCTGTCGGCTTCTTCAAGTGTTCGCTACTTTTCTATGGGCATGCTGGTCTGTCGGGGTATGCTGACCTGACACAACCTGACACAACACCCGGCCCTCACCTGCTGGTTGTTGGGGAAAGTCCTCATGGCGTGCAGCAGCTGGGAGACGGTGGAGCTGATCAGGCCGACGGGCATGGCCTCGGCCAGGTCCTGGGTGGTCAGGTTGAACACGCATGCCGTAGCCACCAGGTGGACGTGCAGAGAGGTGGGGTGACTCTGCATGGCGCTCACCACCAGCTGCAGTAGAGAAGACACATTAGATTATCAGGTCATGTGACTGCCGTTCTGAGTTGAATCTGGCCTTTTATGGCTGTTTTTACTCTGATCATGTGCACCAACTCAGCCACACTCTGCTTGGAGACTTCAATCAAAAATGAATGGGGGCGGAGTTCAGTCTTTAAAAGATGGAGACAGTGAGCATCCATCACATGAGGCATCCTCTTTCCCTGACACTGCATGGAGCCCCCGCTAACACTGAAAAAATATCTCTTACATAATCCTGGTGAAGTTTATCTAATTATGTGTAGTATAATTACCATTACAGCATTCACTCCAATGTACACAAACGCTGATCTAAATCGGCCAAATTAAACTGTAGCAGGAGCGGGAAATAATTATTTGCTAATGGAAATAAATAGCTAAATATCTTGCTTATATATATCTTGCACCCAAGATGAAAGAATCAGAATCAGAAATACTTTAATAATCCCAGAGGGAAATGATTAAAGACTTTCTTGTTTCCTTTTGAAGTTCTACAGGATTTCTGAAGGTTTTCACTTTGGACATTAACTGCTTTTTCATTAATTTGTTGTCCAGTCCTTTCATCTCTCTCAGTATTTTTTTGTTGCTTTTTTTTGGGAGGGGGGGGTGGGTTGTTATCTGAGGAACACTTACGCATAAAAGAAGAGAGGATGACTCAGCAAAATGCAAGTTTTCATCTTTAGGTATTTCGTTTGGTGTAACCTGTTTCAGACAATCGTACCTTCATAGCAACAATATTAGTTCATTGGTAGAGTTCTTGGTAGAAAATCATCAGCAACGAGCTGCTATACAACTTGAGAGGGGGATCGGGACCTTTAGTCGGTCAGTTTACAGCTCTTTGAAGCCTCATCAGTAACAGCGTGGTTAAGCAGGAAGGGCAAAGGGAAGAAAAAGGCTTAGGCATGCCAAATTACACAAGAAGCGGACCGAAAATCAGTGGAAACAGCTCCGATGGAGCCAGGACCTCAACATGATGGAAGCAGTGGGGGAGCTTTGGGATATCCTTAAAGAAACCTGCAGAACTATTCTCAAAGACCACTTAAAGAGAGCACAAGAAGGCTGGACTGAGAGGGGGTTCGGGCTATGTTGAGGAATAGAGGAGATTATCACACCGTTTGTATTGACACAACTTCACATAATTCGACCGTTTCACATTTTCCGAGCGACAAATCAATAAGGGAGGAAAGGCCTAAGGCTTTTGTACGGCCTTGCATCTAATATCTGATGTAAAATTGACTGTCATGTGCTGTACAACAAAGACATGTCATACGTCCCCCATTTTAGGACCAAAAGCCTCCGATGGTGTGGTACGTTTGCTCGAAAGCCGACTGGTTGTGAAAACAACCGACGGCCTCCCGGCTCTGCTCGGGACGGGCTCCCTGAAACAGATGAAGGCCAATCTGGAAGGGATACCTTGAGCGTGTCGGGCCGGGGTTTGTCCGTGTCGGCGGTCAGGCCGTAGAGGTGGACGAGGGCCTCCCGTACGAAACACTCCCGCTCCCTGTACCTCCTGAGGGCCTCACACACCTGGTTCTCATCAGCCTCTCCGGTTACCTGGACACACACGCCGCAGATCAGCGGGAGTCGGAGGGGGTTGGGGGGCAGGAAACACAGGCCGGTGCACTGGTACCGGGCTCGTGTTTCTCCCCTTCGGAATTCTCGGATTTCTCCCGATATCTCCGAAACCGCACGCTTAAGGCCTACGTGCTTCTTACTTTCAGGTTTTTCCGCGAGGAGAGGAGCCGGCAGGAGCTGAGGCCCGTGGCCAGCAGGCCCAGGAAGGCCAGCCCGCCCCTGGACTCCGCGAACGCTCGGACCGCGGCCTCGCTGACCCCCTTCCTCCCGGATATGTCCAGCGAAACGAGGGAGGGCAGGACCTGAGGGCTTCCCTCCAGGAGCTGCCGCAGCGCCTCGTCGCCCTCCCTCCCGTCGCTGTCGTCCACGTGGAAGTGGTCGTCCGAGAAGTCCAGGTGCCTGAGGGCGCGGAGCTGGCCGAAGACGAACAGCAGCCGCCCGGGCGACATGTCCAGCCGCCGCAGCCTGTGGGCGGTCAGAGACCTCAGGGTGCCTTTGCACAGCAGCAGGGCGGCCAGGTTCGAAACCGGGCTGGAGGAGACGTCCAGCGACTCCAAACGAGGGAGCGAGCAGACCTCCTCCAGGATTTGGTCACTCAGGTCGGTGTCGGCCAGGTTGAGCGTCCTGAGGCCGGTCAGGGAGCTGAGGCCACCTCCCCGTAGAGACCCCCAGTCCAGGCGTAAGCCGTTGAGGGACAACCGCTGGAGGCTGACCCGGCACTCGGGGCTCCCGGCCAGGCCCGAGATGACGGCGGCGGCGGTCAGCCCCCCCGGGACCCAGGAGGCGTCTAATTCGAGGAGCCGGTGGGGGCAGAGGGCCAGGCGGAAAGCCTCGGCCGACAGCGGACAGCGCCGGACGGAGACCCTGCGCAGGCGGAGCTCTTTGCAGTTTCGGAAAATCCCAACAGTTGTGTCATTCAGTATCCCTTAGGTGAGGGAGGGGTGGGGAGGGGAGGGGGAGGAAGCACACAAAGAGATGTTGTATGATGGAGACACATCCATTTGGCGACATCTATGTTTGTGGAACGAGCTTTTTGAGCTAAGAGAACCCATAAATCATTCGATTAAAAAGGCCACTCAGGGAGAATCATCTTTGACAATTCCATTAACTATTCTCTGGAATGGAAGAACAATTAACCCCGGGTCATGAATGAATTAGGTTTCCACTGGGCTAGAGTAAGATTCCACCTTAATTACTTCAATAGGCCGAATTGGGGGTTTTCTTTTTCATTAACCGCTCTCGCTTGGCAGACGAAAGTTCCCCTTCGGGGGGGTGTTTTCAGTTCTCCAGATGTACCTTTGGTTGCCATCTTGTGAAGTAGTTGGTCCGCCGTCTCCTGTGGGAGAAGCGGGGCCCAGATGAGGCTCATGGAGCCGTCGGCTCGCAGGCGGCACAAAGCGCCCAGGCTGCTGCACACCTGAGCCAGGCAGAGGTCGGAGAGGGCCGGGGGCCCCTCGGCGTCCTGCGGAAAAAAACACATCACCCAGGAATCCAGTGAGCCGGGAACGCTGAACTCCACATTTGCAGAGCGATTACACACAAACCAGCTTTACGGCGTGTTAATTGGGCCCATAAAAATGCAGGAACGAATCTGGTTTTGTTGGTTTGTTTGTTGCTGGATCACGTTTAAAGCCCCCTTCTATGATCAGACCCACTAATACAGCATGCCTGGGCCGTGTTTTCTCAGGCTTCCAGCAGAGAGTTGAACAGTGACACAGGATCTCTTAACTCTGCAGGAGTCTAATTTTATCCGCAGCAGATGAGGCACAGAACCTACTAAAGCCTGTTTAAATCACCTAATCCAAGCGCTCTCTGTGGAGCAAAGGGGACGAGAGCAAATGGCTCTGCACAGACAATAAATAAAGAGCACCAAAATAAAGCAACTCGTAACATGACTTGGAAGAGGCCGGGGGTCAAACTTACCATGTTTGAAAAGTGGAAAAAGCCCGAGAGAACAGAAAATAATCAAAACGAATTAATAATTTAAAAAAAAATTGTGCGTCGTTTAGTAACTTTTTAAATGGAGTCACCTCATTGTTGGGACAGTTATTTATCAGGTCTGCGGCTCGTAAATAAAAGAAAAATAAGGAAACGTCCCTCTGTTTTGATTAGAGTCCCTGCTGTCGAGCGCCGGGTTTCAGCTGTCACGGTAACGCTCGCTATTGGTCGGTTGGCGTGACGTCACCAACGGGCGTTTGATTAGTTTATTCACTTCTGCTCTGTCCGCTATTTATATTTCTATCTTTAGTGTTGTGCAGAAGTCATTTAATATATATTAATATATATATCTTGTATCCTTGGACCCTTTTCAGAGGCAATTTATACAAATAATTTGGCTCATTGTTTTTTTTCCCAACTTGTCGTTTAAACTAAATTATTACACTTGATTACAAGAGCTCCCCTGAATTTTGTTCTAATTTCTTCAGTTGCACCCATGATAACATAGCTTGACATTAAAAAAAATTACTTTTGCACCAGTATTCTTAGATATTAGTTAGAAACCTGGTATATCCTAGCATGACAGGTTTACCTATCCATCTAGCTCAAAACTGATCCTTTTGACATTTTTTCACATGAGCTGGTACATTTGAACAAAAGTACATTTTAAATTAGGTAGTAAAGTTGTTCAGCCACAAGGAGGGGCTCAAAGGAAGAGCTAGACTTGAAATTTGCAAGCATGTAAACTTAAGCTACCTTGAGTGGAAAGGGAAATGTTATTATTAAAATGACATTAGGGCTTTTAAAGAAAAAGTAGAAAACATTAGTCCCCACTCAAACTGCCAGAATATCCCACACATTTTTGTGGACAACCTACTATAAAGCCACGTGAGCTGAGCATATCGAGAGGAACGTTTTTTAATGAAGAAACCATATAGAAAGCAACATAATTGGACCCAAATTGAGTCGTATTTCTCTTCTGCAATTAAGTAGTTCAAACCGAACTATGCAACGGTCCAGCAGGGACTATAATCCCTCTCTCTCCTCACACATGCATTCATCACACACCACACACTACTTGCGTATTGTGAAACTCTTCGTGCACTTTGAATGTCCTTCCTTGATGCTCATAAGTTAAACTATCCACCCAAAAGCTGAAGTATGAGAGAATCCTCAGCTTCAAAGCCTGCGCTTCCTCCTCAGTCCAAAACATTTAGCCGAGAGGCTTATCGTCAGCTGAGCCCTGTGCATATTGTCCTCATGACCAAATAAACACAGCTGCCAACAGCTCTTTGACTGCTCTGGGATACACACACACACACTCACGCATCCCTCATAAGAGGTAAACAAAAGAGAAGTGCTCTAATACACAGAGATCTCCTTTTATTATTCTTATTAGAGCCATGTGATCACCACGGTCACACGGTTGGTTATCCAGAGGTGACAGGAAACGGAACTGCGAGGAGGAGCAAGTTTATGAGAAACGCTCATAAGAATGAGCCGACAGATGTGTGTGAAGGAGGAAGAACTTTGGGGAACCTGAGAGACGTATTGCATGAGTGGGAGAGGGGGGTAAAAAATCACACAGTAAACAAGAGCCTGTGAGAATTAAAAGCTGACAGAGAGACTTATTTGGAGTATCGGTGCCTCCGGGGCCAAACGGATTCATCACTTTTTCATTTGCGGCAAAACACTTCCATCTTCTCCTCCTAAACTTTACATGACATCAGAGGAGGGAGGCAGGGCCAGTGCCTGGACCCAGGGAAAATCACTCCATCAGCCTTCCTCTCTCTCTCTCTCTCTCTTTCTGTCTCTCTCTTTCTCTTGACGGACCACCCTTCACTGTTCCCTTCCCCTGGACTCCCTTTGCCGGTGCCATAACTTTGAGTGCGGGCCTTCACACTCCATGCGAGCCAAGGCAGAGGAGGACTGAGCGGTGAAAAGAATGGAGGGGATGAACCTGCAGCAGAAGCAACACTGAGACACCAGGTGGACCACTGACTGAACTCACTGACACAGGTTAGATTTCTGAGCGCTTATTCGCTTATTTCTCTATCTGTTTGAGCCTTGGAGGCTTGTAGTTTACAGGCATCATTCTAATGCTGCTTCTGCTTTATGATTTTTTTCACGTTTGATTAATCACATTCACCTCAAAAGCGCATCTGCTCACAGTTTACAATTGGGTCACACTTTCACTTATTGTGGGATTAAAACCCATTTCTACAGCAATAAAAATGAACAATCACTTCCTCCGTTCTTATTGGCAAGCCAATATATTTGTTGTTTTTCCACTCTGCGGCCAGTTCCCCGGCAGGAATTTTTTTCCCAAACGGAGGGCGAGCTGTCGACGCGAGCAGCTCTTCATAGGGAAGGAGTCTACCAGTGCGCGTTATGTCCTGTGAAAACATTTTTTTTTGGGACATATTTTCCATGCGTGCGTATCACGTTGCCTCCTCTGGCAGACGGGCCTAATCAGTGGCATCAGCGGAGAAACCTCTGGGCTGTGTGGAACAGTTCATAAAGGCCTTCGGGCCCGGGGCAAAAGCCACAACAAAGCTTCCTGAAAAATTTCTTTTTATTTACTCCTTTGAATGAATTCTGCGGCCCAAAAAAAAAAAAGAGGAGACATGCATTTCTTGGTGATAAGCTAATTGAGGTTTTTGTGACTAAAGCTTGTTTTTAAAGACGGACAGAGTTCAAAAGGTCAGATTGGCAGCATGGGCTTGGGAAAGCTAATAAGTCTGGTCACGAGGGCTAAATGAATGTAAAAATGCAGCAGCTTGTCATTAATTGGCTCCGAGCAAGCAAAAGGATTGCCTTTTAACAAGTCTTCGAAAATGCACCTAATCGAATTGAACTTTGATTTTTGATGAAGGCAGGCTCGGTGAGAATGACGGAGGAAAAGCTGGTGGTAATAACGGCAAATGAGATTTACAGCCCCGGCACAGGAGCCTCTATGTAAACACTGTCACTCCTGTCAAAGCCTGCGAGATTCATTTCGCGGGCCCAGGAGTCGCGCAGTCGTGCCAGTTGTTGAGACCCAACTCCTGAAAGGGGATGACCCGTGATTACAGAAAGACGGTGGGAAAGAAACTTCTCGGCTAATAATAACTGAGTGACAGGGCCCAGATATTAGAGAGCTCTGACGTTCTTTTCCTTCTCCCTTCGCCCTCATGCCGTTTATGATTCATGGTCAAATTTAAGCTGCAGCTCATTCCACATGGCACAGCAAAAAACACAGGCTTCAAGACAGAATTGCAGTGTCGAACAACATGGTTATTGAAAACTCATGCGGGCTCATATGCCCGCCATCAATCACAGAGCTTCGCGAAAACACAAAAAAATTCCCCAGAGGTAAGCATGTTTTTTTTTTGTTTTTTTTCCCCTGTGACAAACGATACAAGGCTCGCATTCTCAGACTTGGAGCGGTTTTGAGTCTAGGTAATCCTCTGGGATGTGTCCCATTAACTGCGGACACAACTCTTCGGTGCAACCAAACGTCAAGATGAGACCACAGAAGTGATTTAAAGCTCCGGCTGTCTCCGTCCTAAGATATATGTATTTTTAAGTTCTGCCTCTTTGGCATTTTCGGTGGGGGGAAAATCTCCCAGGATTTTTCCTTTCAAAGGGCTTCAGTGTGAAGTGGGTCGCACCGTGTGCTTGTCAGAAGTGTTGGACGAAGGCTGCTTAACCTCCTTGGTCACAGCCACCACGCTTGGAATCGGCCGGACTGCCAAAAACCGGCCTGAGGTTGGCTAACCACTCCAGCTCCACTCCCAGAGCCAAACTATGCTACTGGGGAGAAAAGGGAGGGAGTTTTTCATTTAGCGTGCTCCCTCCCCCTACCCCCAAATTTTTGTGCTGTCAAAACCAATGAGATCAAAACATGAGCTTCCTTTCCAAAAATAGACTCCAGAAAGCATTACTCATAAATCTGGGATCCCTCTTTTGGCACATTGATTCCTCTCTCTCATCTCCCAATTTAAATCCACACTTTCTTCTGTCTTTTTGTGAAAGATGCGTGCTTAGGGAGGCACAGAAGACCTTAAACGATGCAACACATGTTTTTGATTGAGAATTTGATGCGTTGCCATCAGACAGGAGATTTAGGATGGCAATCTGCTAAATGAACCAGTGGAAGTGCTCATTCATTCCAGCTGCCACCAGGATTATATATTGACCAGTTAAATATTTCTTTTAACCATTGTGGTGATTGTGTAACTGCCTGTTTGGGCTTTTCTCGTTGTGATGGTTAATATTGCTGTGAATGTTTGGTATGGTGCGGCTTATTTTCGCTTAAGATAAAATTCACCGCTTGAGAAAAATATTCAGATCTTTATCTTTTTTGTGAGCTATCTGTTACATCTTAAGTAAATCTCTTCAATTCAAATGAATCTGCACGGCCCTTTTCTTAATCATTTGATCACTTGTACCAGTTTTCTTCATGAAAATACATTTTTTCTAGACCCCTGGAGATCATCAAAGGCTTCAGCTGGATGCCTATCAGATAATGTATGCAGTGTCATTTTAACAATATTTTCTATGGATTATTTCACTTTTGAACGAGATCTTTTGTCTGGAAGGTCTCCACTGTGACATCCACAGAAATATTAAAAAACAGAACTCAACGCTAGCGCACGCTGGGACATCTGATGGAAATGTGGCCGGGGTCCTAATGAAAAATAACCCATCGTAGAACGTATTGAAAATACGAGTTGAAATAACACATTTGGGGCAGTTTGGTGGAAGAGCTGTTTTTTCCACCGCAAACTGTAGCAGAAGGCAGCTGTTGCCAAGAGCAGGACTGAATGCAGTATGTGAAACCACACAAGTGTCGAGGTCTGCTTTTTGTCACTGTATATTAATATGCCCACTTTCTTCACGAATAAGAGGGACTCTTGTGTTTGGTCATCACAAGCAGGGGAGGGTTTACCTTCACTAAATCCAAGTTATAAAGAAAAAGAAAACATCTGTAAAAATATGGGGTTCTTCCAGATTTTTGCCGTGGTAGAAACTGAACAAATAGTGACAAAGAGAAACAATCAGAAGGTATCTTTGTAATGTTCTGTGTTATGCAATTGTTTCAAATCAGTTAATTCTTTTTGGGAAAGTTGAGGAATATAGACAGAGTAATTCAATATAGAAAATATATGATAATGTCCAAATGATCTTTTTATGTGCTTTTCCCTCTTATAGATCTCTAGCTGGCTTGATGATTGTAAGAGAAGGAATCATGAGATCAAACATGTGGGGCCTTTTTATCCTGGTTGCTCTGTCTCTTTGGAGCGAGGGCCAAGCCTTCACGAAGAACCCCATCCTGTCCCGGATACGCCGGGCTCCGGAGGCCGACGGGGAAACCAAGAAGTGCTCCTACACCTTCCTGGTCCCCGAGCAGAAGATCACGGGCCCCATCTGCGCCGCCCGGGGCTACTCCACCGACAAGGACCGCGTCACCCGGCTGGACGTGGCCTCGGTGCGCGACCTCCTGTCCAAGCAGCGGCGGGAGATGGAAACCCTGAAGCTGGTGGTGGACGTGGACGGCAACCTGGTGAACGAGATGAAGCTGCTGCGGAAGGAGAGCAGGAACATGAACTCCAGGGTGACCCAGCTTTACATGCAGCTGCTGCACGAGATCATCAGGAAAAGGGACAACTCGCTGGAGCTGGCCCAGCTGGAGACGCGCATCCTGAACGCCACCGCCGAGTCTCTGAGGCTGGCCTCCAGGTACAGGGAGCTGGAGGCCAAGTACGCGGCGCTGTCGGCCGTGGTCAACAACCAGTCGGTGCTGATCGGAGCCCTGGAGGAGCGCTGCATGCAGGTCTACAGCCGCGGCCACGAGCAGGCGCCCCTGGGACCTCCGCTCGTGCAGGTGGTTCCTGAGAACATTCCAGTCAGCGTGCCCCGCTTCACCAATGAGATCCAGACAGACAACAGCCGAGGGTTTGCCAGGGAAAGGGGTTCCCGCTCGGGGCCCCCGCCCACAAGGGGCACCCTGGAAGTCCAGAAATCCGAGAGAAACTTCAGCACGGAGGGTGAGTACAGGATGGGATTTGTTTGATAGCGATCTGTTCATTCTGCTAATTCATTACCAGTTATTTTTTGTTGTTTTTTTTGACCGTGTCACAAAAATCAAGAGCAGCCAGGGTGAAATGTGGAGAGGCCGTGGCTTTGCAGGCCGACTGAAAACAGCTGCAAACGGGGCCAAAGACCTCATTTCAGAGGTTAAAGATTTGCTAAATCAGCTGTTACTCTGCTCCAGGCTCAACAGAAAGAACACAAACCAGGATGGAAACAAAAATGCTGTCAGGTCTGAACTGGGTCAGGGCACTTAAGTGAAAGGAAAGCGAGGCCTGATCTGCTTGATTTTGCTCATCAACAGAATTTCCTGACGCATTTAGAGTTCCACGGCCCAAGAAAAATAATGTGCAAAGGATTTCAACGCAGCTACGCATGAAAATGATCCTTTGCTAGACTTTTCCATCGCGTGACATGTACTGTAGACAAAACCCAGGCTGGAATGAGGCACCAAAGCAGAGGGACCTCTGTCTTTAAGAGACCAGACTGTTATTCCTGTTACTTTTATTAGCATTATTCTCTGATTAACAAGGAAACCGTTACCGTCTCCAAATAAACTCCGTGGCCTATTTTTGTTATGACAGTGTAAAATTACTTGGACAAAGGCGGACGATGACAAGTGTGGTTTTACAACACGTTTATTTTTCAAAGATTTATTTGACCTCAAACTAGGAACAGTCATTCCTTGTAAATGTGACTGCAGGGTCATATTTAGCTACGAGAACTAATCCCAACCTTTAATCTGCTCGGACGCTCAGTGGTGCGTAGGTTGGAACTGCCACCTCGCACCAGTATCGTCTCTGACTTTTTTTCCAGGTGGAAATACCTATGCTGTTGTTGGCTTTTGGCTTTTGCCTGGTCTGCTGGTCTTACCTCTCTCTCTGGTTAGTTGCTAGGGCTGGCTCCTTCCCTTAGCAGCTGCCAGGTACCAAAAAACAATTACTTCAGCCTCTATTTTTGTTTCCATAGACTTGACTTTCTGATGTGTTTTTATGCCTCTGAGTACGAAAACAGCAGGTATCACAGCAATTTGTGAAATGTCCACAGAAAGACTTTTGCGCGAAAGAGGCGAAAACTCTGCATTTGGAAGCTGCATAAGTTGGGTATAGAGGACCCGCACACATGTGGCTGTTTAGCTCAGTTCAAGTCCTTTAATGCATGCTGATGTTTCAAGGAAACATCAGTTTTTTAAGGAAATTACCTTTTTGTCTTGTTAGAATTTAAAAAAGCTATTCCAAACAAAAAAAAAACATTTGGTGCAAATCAACACCAATGTGAAGTTTGATGTTTGCTTGGTGGCAGGAGCAAAAACTACTTAACTTATTAACACTCAACTGTTTCCCCAGAGTCTCTTTTTCTATGTCTAGATAGAAAAAAATCTAACAAAAAATACAGGTACGTTTTTAGCATTGAGCGCTTACACTAAACCGAGCCCAGTCAACCTCGCTTCAGACCTGAGGATTTTGGTTTCCCTGCGTAATCCTCACAAAATCTAACTCTGATGGTTGGAACCTGCTCTCCCCCCAGCAGCTGGACTTCGCCTTTCACCGTGCGCTCCGCTTTTTGTCCTTGCGCTTTCCCGACAGGCCCGTTCCGAGACTGTCTGCAGGCTCAGGACGCCGGCCACATCACCAGCGGGATGTACCTCATCAGGCCAGATGAAGCGGAGAGGCCTCTGCAGGTCTGGTGTGAACAGGATATAGACAACGGGGGCTGGACTGTGATCCAGCGCAGAAAAGACGGATCGGTTAACTTCTTCAGGAACTGGGAAAACTACAAGGTGATGACAATGGCGCTTCCGCCGCCCCATCTGTCTTCTTTTTATTCCCCCTTTTTCTTATCCTTGGCTCATCCAGACACAACAGTGGGTTAGTTATACGACCCACCTTGGGGACCATCTGGGTTGTTTGAGATCATTTCCTGGGGCTGAATCCTTCTGTTTTCACTTACTGTAAAATATGCCGCCCTGTCAGCAGCCATATTCATTTAAGTTTTTTTAAGTTAAAAAAAAATCGCTCCTCTAATAAGGTACGCCACACCAATTGCAATGTGCTAATGTTTCTTTACATAGTCTTTTTCTTAGTCTTTTCTTGGCTGGTTGGCCTACACCACACCGTATAGGGCTCCATCATCAAAGCCCCCGAGAGAGATGGAGAATATCACAGCAGGCAGCTGCTGCAATCCAGTGTTCCACTCAGTCCAGCCAGCCTTGAGCTTGTCTAACTGGGGGCTAAATTGCTCTCTTCCACACTTTTGCACATGCACACAGAACCAAAGCAGAGTCCCCAAACCCCCCCAAAAAAGCCCACATCATTCATCATCTGCGCAACTAATCCATAATCACAGACCTCAGCCTCCTCTGCCAAGTGAAGTGTTCTGGAGCCCCGTGCCCAGGCATTGATAGCTCATGGTTATTCAACACAAGTGCCCAGGCCAGTTTCACCATGAGCCATAATTCAAGAAATCTGCGGGGCTTTGAGGAACAGCAATCTGAGGGCAGATGCTTATTATCCAGCAGAAACTCCACAACACGGCTTTCTCTCCAATTTGATATAGACACGAGGGTATTCTTTCACCACAGCGCCTGCGTTTTCCTTTTGAAGCTCTTACGAATTACAGAACAATGACGAAAACATCATCAAGGAGTCATTTATTCTTAACTCCACCGTTCAATCCCACCACCGCAGCCACGGGGGGGTTTTAGGTTCCTAAATAATGCTCGTGTTTCCAAACTCCCCAGTGCATTATTTTCTGTAATCTTCTTGTAACCTTCCCCTTTAATCTTCCTTTGATCCAGAGCGGCTTCGGCAACATAGATGGGGAATACTGGCTCGGCCTGGAGGGCATCTACAACTTAGGGAGGCCGGGTGACTACAAGCTGCTGGTGGAGCTGCAGGACTGGATGGACAAGAAGGTGTACGCTCAGTACAGCAGCTTCCACCTGGAGCCGGAGAGCGAGGGCTACCGCTTGCGGCTGGGAACGTACCAGGGCAACGCCGGGGATTCCCTCAGCAGCCACAACGGCAAACAGTTCACCACTCTGGACAGAGACAAAGACGCCTTCTCAGGTAGACGAAGATGGAGCGGTTCCTTTAACCTCCTGAGACCCTGCATCCTCATATTGACATTTAATTTTTGCCTCTCTTTACCATGATACTTCTTTTTTCTTTTGACTCTGACATCTTGGCCTCATAGCAGACGCTTTCAGACAATAATGTTTGAAATCCAAAGTAAATGGTTTTGAACATTTTTTAAACTAATCATGTTCTTACTATGTAATTCAAACGTAAATAAGTAATTTGGACCGTCAGAACCAAAATGCAGAGAAAACATTTAAATGAATGCATATACAAATATACATTTTTAATATAAAAATAAATACACTGAACCTATATGAAGAAAAACTGAGAGCACCATGCCAAAATCTAGCTTAATAAACTTGTTAGATCCTACAAATCCTATATCTTGAAAAAAGCAAAAAGTGCACACAGAAGAAAAGCTCAGGACTCAGGAGTCTAAAGGGAAATCAAAGAACATATCATGTCAAACCTTCAGTTTTTACTAGTGTGACATCGGAATAACTGAAAATAGATGGGCTTTTTTGTGGTGTTCGACAACCTTTAACCCAAAATATTGGGGAAATGAGTGCTTTCAGCTAGTTTTGTCTTTGCAAACACCAAATAGTCCAGAGGGACTGAGGCCATTTAAACACCTGAGCACCAGGAGAATGTTGTTCCATGGTTTGTCGTTCACACGGGTGCATCACAACAGGGATCATTTCACGACTGAAGTATTTCAGAGGTAACATCAGTGTCTTTCATGGAGCTTAACTCTATGAGAGACACTGCGGGAAAACAGCTAAGCAGCGTAGCGTTGGTGTTTCTCAACCCAGAACTGCACACGGTTTGGTTATTACATATTATAAAGTGTGAAAGAAGTGTAGTCTTTCTGGATTTTAAAATGTGGTAAGCAGCAGACAACTGGGCTTTTTTTGTCCCTGAAATGTTGAACAATTTATGAAAAAGCAAGCTGCAACTGAAAATTGAGAAAAGGGAAAACGTCTTTCTCCCCACGTGACCATTTGTTCCATAGTATTATCCAATAACACAAACACAACTAAACCCTCCATGAATCGCTCGATGTTTTAGTAACCAGGCAGCACCGCATAGGAAAAGGTGGGCTGTCGGAAATCACTGCGGAAACATTTCTGAGAACCACTGTCAGTAAACACGGTTAGTCACTGCATCCACAAACACTACTTGGAATTCTGCCTGCATCAAAACTAAAAATCCACAGTTTGTACCAGCTACTAACCATTTTCCAGAGCGTTGCGTTTGGCTGTTTTATACATTGAACGCAGCAAACCGGCGTTTATTCTGCCACAGAGCGGAGAGAGAGTGCTGTTCTGTTTCGTGTTTACTCAGGCCGGTGGCTCTCAGACAGACCACGAATGCAGCGTGATGCTAAGCTCTGGCTGGTGGGTCTCATGGATGCTTGCATCCCACAAAGCCTTAAGCAATGCCTCACTTCATTCAGAAAATAAATAGAGAACACTCAGTCGCATGCATGACCTCTGCCACTCTTTCCTCTATCTGTGTGAAGACGTTAAATGTCACAAGCTGAAAAATAGATTCAGGAAATACCATGTAGACTTCTACTAAATATGAATGTGACTGTTTTTTTCAACTTTGAGCAACAAAAAAGGCTTGTTGTCGCCTCAAAAGAACACCGAAAGCGGAGACTTACAGGTCCCATCTTGATTTTCTCATTCGCGAAACACCTTAAAAAGATGGCAGAAAAGATCTGAAAAGTAAGCAGTCTTTGAGTAAGCTGCAGGAAAAACAATAGGAATTAATTAGCTGAATGGGAAATAACTCAGTCACATGATCCAACATAAAGCGGGCACATCAGGGAGGCAGAGTCTCTCAAAAATAAAGACAGGCAGAGGTTAAATCAGTCGGGAAAACCTGTGTCTACAAACTGGGGAGCAGTTTTTGCGTAATATTTCATGGTGTAATTAAAGATAGGTATGATTCTGTGATGGAAATCCACACATAGGTTAATTTACACTCCAGTGAACACAGTACACCATGCCATCTGCAAAAGCATTAACTCATTGACTGCCAGCCATTTTCAGAACAGAGAGTCCCATACTGCCAGAGTTTTTTGAGCATTTTGACTGATTTTTCAAGAGCCACAGAATAGTTTGTGCTATGACTATGTAAACACCGAACACACCAAAGAAAGAGTAGACTCTCTTCTTTCATCAGGAAAAACTTTTTGTTTCTACCTTATTCCGTTCTTCCTCCACTTGCGTCTCACCGGCGCCATTTCTCGCATAGCGAACCATTGCGTTTTTTTTTATTTGCCTACAATCTATGCTCATCTCCCATCAAAAGTGGCACAGCTACCTAGAGGGTCAATTTGTTAGTACATACTCTGTCTGGATGCCGATATTTACGGAAAAGCTTTAGCCGATCGTCCCCCAAGCCACTCGCGTTGAAAAACATAAAAGACGTCTGTAGACGTCTTTGGCAGCGAACGGTTGTATTTGAATTTACGTCTATAGACGTCTTTGCAGCCAATGAGTTAACAAAGGCCGGATTTAGGAGGGATTTGGGGAAAAAAGCAACTCTCAAAATAAAGTATAATGTGTCCGATTAAAGGCTAATCATCCGCCTGTTTCCTGACAGGTAACTGCGCCCATTTCCACAAAGGAGGCTGGTGGTACAACGCCTGCGGTCAGGTCAATCTCAACGGTGTCTGGTACACCGGAGGAGTCTACCGCAGCAAATTCCAAGACGGTATGTTCTGGGCCGACTACGGCGGAGGCTTCTACTCCATGAAGGCCGTCCGCATGATGATCAGGCCCATAGACTGAGACAACGGCGTCCTACAGACTGGTCGGGGAGCAGCTGTGGTGGCCACGGCCTACTCAAGACTCATCCGAACTCATTTGTTACCTTATATGTCAACAGGAAGTGGTTGATGTCAGGTGGAACAACTGTAACAATGTGAGCTGAGATCAAGACCAGGAGCACAGACAAAACCATTTTTTATGTCACAGATTAGGGAAAAATAGCCTCTTACGATGTAGGGTGTCCTTAACCCTGACCCTTAACCCTAACCCTACGACTCACCATGTGCTCTCGATTTCTAAAAGAGGAGGAGCTATGCACGTACGTCCTCACTGTCACAAACATCACGGGATCTATATGCAGCGGTTCCTATCTTACCGAAACAAACGTCTGGTTCAGATATTCATATTTGATATTTGTACATAGCTGGAGCTAGCAAATACTTTCCAATTAACTGTGCGTTAACACCCACACTTATGTAAGTGAAGAAAACCCTTTTTGAATCGTAAGGTTTTACATATCTTGATATAATAATGCTAAAGTGAATGTAAAAAAAAAGGAAATATTTGGTTGTTCATTGGTATCAACATGAGCTAAATCCATTATTAAATGGATAAAACTTCATCCAAAACAGAGGTTGTGGACCCACTTTAGCAGCAACAACTTGACGTATCGTTTTCTGTATGCTGATGTGAACCATTTTTAGATCTATACAGTGGTCGGGACATCGCAGCAACCTTGATTCTTTCTTTCTCAGTTGTAGATTTTGGACTTAATGATTGCGAGGTGTCTAGATCCTGAATCGTCAGCCGTCCCATCTGGACAAACATCTCCAGTTTGGTCTCATCTGTCAAAAGGACACGGTTCCTGAAAATGTTTTATATAGCTTTACTAACCTAAGCTAACATGGCAGCCATGTTGTTCTTTTTTCTCTTAGAAAAAAGCAGCCTTTCTTCTGTAATGCTTCCAAACAGGCCATAATTGTTCAGTAGTTATCCAAGGGTGGACTTAGCTTTTCCCACACCACAACTTCTGCATTTTGTCTCAGTTTTTTTAAGTAAATGAGTGATGGCCAAAGCGTGGAACATCACGTCTTGTTTATGTAAGGTTGTGTTTACCTTTAAATCATGTGTTGATATGTGAAACCTTAGGATGAAAACAAGTGTACTTACTTTTTCTACATATGTATTGAAACCCTAATGTTTGCTTTCTGATTTGAAGCGGTGCGTCTGTTAGACTTGATGCCCGAAAACAGTGGTGTTTTTATTCTAAATCCCCACACTTAATATGACCTTTATACTGCATGTTATAATACTTTGCCAGAGTGCAGATAATTTATGTGTATAAATAAGTTATCATAACAGTGAAAAGGGCCAGGTGTCCTGAGGGAACAGGCCACGGTACCACAGATCGTAGGACCAGTTCGCTCCGCTGTTAAGTAGGACCATCCTTCTCAAACTGTGTCAACACATGTGGAAATCGCTATTTTGTGTTTTTCCCATTTGGACTTCGATTAAAGTTCAGCATGACGCTGAGAAACACAAGCATTGTTGGGAGGGAATGGCGCTCGGAGTGGTTTTGGAGCATGAAAAATATGCCGACCAACCGCCCAGAGTTTTAAGCACTGGTACAGACAACGAGAAGCACATTTCTGAAAACCAGACAGGATGGAGAAAAGAGGGGGATCGGGGGGAAGGGTGGGGAGGGGAACTGGGATGGAAGCAGTCCAAATTTCCAAGTCATTTTTTCCACGCACCCCAAAATCTTTCCTTCAAACACAGAATAATCTATGGTCTCTCCTCGCGGAGAAAGCACTTTGGCTGTTTACTTTAGTAAAATCTTTCACTGATAAAAAAAGTAATGGATGCCCCTCACTCTACAATCCATGCTGCGGATGGAAATCCCTTTCGGTGGAGCCATCTCAGAAGGGTTCGCTTCGAAAACCGTTCTCCCCACCCCACCTCCTTTTTTTTATTATTTTTTTTATTGACCTGCATGGGTCTCCCACCCATTTCTTTAAAAAGATTTTATGAAGCAACAAAACACAAAACATGGACGCTTGTCAAACCCGGCCGGACACGGAGCAATGTTTATGGATATGTTAAAGAAAAAGGGAAAAAAAAGCGGCATCCAACAAAAAGCTGTGCTGTCAACCCATAAAAAAGCAGCAATAAAAGTTTTAAGTGGTGGCTCTCAGTGCTCGGCACCACGTTACACAACAAACAGTGGCTAAGTGGAGAACATGGGGCACGCTTGTTCCAGGGCTCCCAAAAGAGCTCTCCCGTTGCACATCAGAACATGATTTGGCTGTGAGTCTGTTTTGATATAACACTGCTACGTAAGCCTTCTTGTTGTCACGGTAGTTCTGAAAAGAGGAAGCACGTTTCCAACTAAATTTCCCACAAATTCTGCCTCAAATCGGCACTTGGTACCTTGCGTGCTTTGTGTTTTAATCAAAAAGTCATGAGGTGGCCGCTAAATATGTCACAAAGTGACACGATTTGTGACAGAGTTGAGAAAGCCAGCTGGACCGCAGAGCGTTATTCCTTCACGCCTGTCTGCTCAGTAATAAATAGTATTTCTGGTGTGGGACTGGAACTTGAAAGAGCAGTTTGTTTTTTTGGATGACGGATGCGCTATTATTCTGCCTTGTGAGGGGATTATCTGGTGCTTTGCTCACCAGCTAAATCCATCAGGATCCTAACTTGCAGCCAGGAATTTAGAATGTGGTTTGTGTTTTTATAGTGAGTTGCAATGTCCTTTTTTACGACCAAGAAGTCAGCATCTAGGGGTTAGACGTATATGAAAGTCTTTGACCGCCAGTCAAGGGATAAATGTGTTAAGAAGTCTCCATGCATGCAATGAAAGATGTTCCTCCAACTCTGGGATGCTAAATTGACAGGTTGTAATATCCATTAGACATATAGTGTTTACTCAGACTGCTAGGAATGTTTTTTTTTAAAGATGAGTTACTTTAAATGGCCAATATTTACCCTTCTGTTAGCTGTTAGCTTAACTACCCAGTCAGCATGTATCCCTTGAAACCTTCTGCTTTGTATAGCAGGTTGTTGGCTCCAAAGCTCTTCACAGAACCTCACAGAACAAAAGTAAAGGTAGAAATCAAACAAAACACTCGGGCCTTCTTTATGCCAACCGTTATACCACCATCCAACCCTTCCCATCTCACCTTAAGAACTTCAACATGTGTTGAAGCTGATGATTTGTGACAGTTTGATGGATTGCCATAAGTCTATTCTTATGTACAGAGGTATCCTCTTCGTCACATGGAGAAGAAAAGAAAAATTTGTCGAGTTTTTAATATCTTTTCGCTGAAGTGCATATATGATATAAATATGTATATAACTACATTAAAAAAATCTAAGCTCAACCACGTACTGTCTTTTATTTTAGATAAATCCCCCCCCCCCCCCCCCAAGACTGTAAATTCTAGATAGTCATCTTGTAAATCAGGCCTATACTCTTGTTAAACATGCAAAAACATGCAAGATAGAGAAAAAGGCCAAATAACATTAATGATCAAGTTTATGGTTTCAGTGGCTAGTTTCCCGTTTTCCTTCTTGGATATAAAAAAAAATGTTCCCAGGACATGATAAAGCATCCTAAGTGAAAGAGCCACCAGTGTTTGAGGACCCCCCTCATGTGTACTAGCTTGAGTTCTTGGTAAAATCCACAGTCAAGATTCAACATCAAGATCCTGCGACATCCAGTGAAAAATGAAAATGAAAAAAAGATTTTGGAGAGCGTACATTTATCTTTCCTTTGTTGTCTGGTCCCAGCAAATGGCAGACATCCTCTTTAGACGGCATAAATAGGTGAGAGGCTTGGACAGTCTTCCATGATTTGCGGTGAACAACCTTCCACGAAAACCCAATCGCATTATAATCATCAGTATTCATACGATGTTCGGAGAGACAGTCATTTGTGTGCATTTTCCAGTGGGACACCTTCGTGTCTTCACACCTCCCTCCCGCCCACAGGCGGCCTGTGTGGGTGCAGCCTTCCAGTAACTTTCACCGCCGCACACTGGACCCTTTACGGTTTAAAACCGGCTCATTGGGACTACTCAGATGCCCGATTATCCTAACGAGGGGAAACCGCTCCCCTGCAGCCCGACCCTGGAAACAGTGGAGGTGACATCCTTGGCTCCGGGCCTCTGGGACCACACTCGCATCTCCCAATTCCAGGCCAAAGGGAGCAGTCACGGAAGGGGAGCCGCTGCAGTGTGGTCCTCCCCCCTGGACGTCTCCGGGTTTCGGAGGTGAAAGCCCTCCTTGTCAGGCAGCGAAGCTCCGCCGTCTGCGGATTTTCAACCGCAAGGCTCGGAAGATGTCTGGGCGGCCTTCTGCCGTTCGCTGCTGAGGGGGGCGACCCACCAACCCTCCAAAGCCCAGCTAGTGTCAAACGGCGAGTCAACATACAGGATGGGGAGCTGTTTTCTTTCAAAATAAGCAATGGGATGAATTTTTGCCCTGACTGGCACACTAAAAATTTTTTTTTAAATCTCCATGACTTGGTGCTAAGAAGCCTTTCGTGTTAAAGCTTAACAGACACTTGTTAGAGATGGATGATCATTTGGAGGGTTCTGTAAAGTCTCATTTTACTGCAGACAGCTGCAGTTTCCACTTCCCCTAATGGTCTAAAGCATACAGTAGAATATTTAATTTAGCAATGGAGCACATGTGCGAAGTCTGAGATTGTAATAACAAGATTTATTTTACTGATGGCTTTTTAGTTTTTTGGACAGAAATAAGTAAACCAACCATTATAAACAGGGAGATATTTGGGCAGTGAATTCATCAACAGACCATTTAATGTTTGAACACATCTATTAGTGACCGAAAATTCAGCTGGTTTTCATTGTTAGTGTGGTCGGAATGACGTGCATGTTTATTCTAGACTCAAAACTTTCAAACCCCTTCACATGATCAAATGGATCCCCTCACCAAAAGAAAAATGACCTCAAAACACTGTGGAGTCAGCATTAGTCACTGAAGTGAGAACCCACAAATGGTCCACGCTGTGACTGTTAGCTGTTTGTCTTCTGGTTATATGAGTCCACTTATTGTGATGAATGGCGTGAGTCACGACGGTCTGTTTAAGACTTCAGGGCCGCCTGGGGAGACGGAACCAAAGGAGCAATCGCCCGGACCACTCGAATGTTTTTGTACCATAGTTGAAAAAGAGAAAAACAAATGGGCCTCTCAGCTTAAACCTGCTTGAGGGAAGTATGAGCCACTGGGGCCACAAAGGACCGCAGAAAGGCTTTACATTCAGTCTGTTGAAGCAGTAGAGCTCTGACTCTAACTGGTAACTGTCCATTAAAGAAAATGGCAAGGAATCTCTTCTTATGGAAGTTTATTTTGCTGCCATATTCATAAGTAGCTTTAGACATAAATTTGACAGGAAAGAGTCAGATATCCAAGCATCCTTCAAGACAGCACCCTGGACTCACATTCTAACAGCTATTAATTCCCTAAAACATCACATGTTCCTCAAAACTGTACCTATGTATGTTTTTTTTCTCATTTGAATAACCCTAAGGATGGTTTGGGGCAAAACTGAATATTATTTGTCAGTCAGTGGATAGATGTGTGCTAATCTGAACCTGCCCACCATGTACGCTCACCCATAAATGAGAAGCAAGCATGAGGATGAGTGCCAGCTCAGACTGGCTTAAGGCGGCTCACTCAACCTGAACTTTCTTTAGGGAGGGGGGCTAGTCCCCCATTTAACCCATTAAGGCAGCTGGCAGTTAGCAACCACTCCTCTGGGACAGCTACCAGGCCATTTTCTGGCACATTTTTGGAGTTTTGTGGTCAAAGGTGGTCAGAATTGGTGTGAAAAGTTGATGGGGGAGTCATTTGAAGCTTTATAAGGATTCTGTTTAGTATGGGATGCTACTAAGAATTCCATTTTCTCAGTGTTACCAAAGCCAGAGCCACATCATAAGGCACAAATATAACGAACGACGAAGAGCAATGCGATCCCTCTGCCATGGCAGTTGGAATCATGCCGACTTTTGATCTGGGCTAACTGAGCCTTCAGCCCATGAACGAATGCATCATCTGTTGACAGCGTGCTTTGTGCAAATGTCTTGATCTTTTCCTGTGTTTAATAGCTCCTCTGTGACTCGTCTGCGTGTTGTTGGTTTGCTGGAACTGCTGTTGAACGCCACAATTGGGAACAGTACTTTCTTGGGGAAAGCAGAACAGCAATTTTCTGGTTACAACTTTTGTCTTGAGCCGGTCTTCAACTCTGACTCTGCTTTCACGTTACAAAGGGATGAATGTATCTTTTATTTCAAGCTAATCATTATATGTCTGTAAAGATAATCGAAAATGGCCAGCTGTGTATCACTACAATAAAATCCATGCTACATTAGGTTTAAAAGGGCATACAATTGTTAAGGGTTAAAGAAACAAAAAGGGCAAAAATGCACACATGCTGCTGCACAATGTTGTATCATTGCTCTCCATCCATGATATTTTTCCTCCACATTCTTTGCACGAAGGGATATAGACTGATTGGACTTGCAGATGGACTCTCTTGCTATACTTTGTATGCATCAGCTACACACAAAGGTCAGATATAATATCAGCTCATACCTAAACCCCTGTCACGAGACAAGAAATCACCACCACTGGAGGATGCTCGCTGAGTGTTTTACCATCAGGGAAAAACATATATAAAGATATTGCCTTCAACAGTTGTATAATGAAACTTTTATAATTCATTGCTTTAGTAGATCAATTAAAGAATTAAAAACGCCCTTTAGTTTTTTTCCTCCACTAATGTAGGCATTTTATTAACTTAATTTTATTGCTTTGAGTTTTCTATTTTGATGTTTTAAAGTATGTATTTGAGCAGATATAAATTTTAATTTTTATTATCCTCACTTTTTTCTTGCAATGTGTTTCTTGGTGTGGCTGAGTGTTAATTAAGTTTCTTAATTCCATTGATTCTCAATAGGTTCTCTTGAAATGGAATGGGCATCGACCTCCAGGTTTTTTGCTGATTTTTCGTGAAGGGGTGTCAAACTAAAAGAGCTCACAAGTCATATTCAGCTCATTTTCTACAAGTAAACTATGCTTTGCGGAACTTAAACCATACAATACTGCCATCTAGTGGTGGAGTGGCTCACCTGATAAACTTAGTCGTGCGCAGTTGTAGACCGAGCTCGAGGGTTCCCCCCACTTTAAATAGGTGCCTCATACATCTTTTCAGTCAGTTTTTAGATTAATTTTTTTTCACAAGGAATACTGAAAATGAAAACTGTGCATAACTCCATACAATACATTAACTGAACATATGTATTGCAATAAGCCAATGAAATAAGTAACTACTGCTGTCGCTGAATGATGACGCAAGTGTAAGCGACTATGGCGGCTCATGCTAGCGAGCTCGAGATAGCAAAGAAGAATTTAACGGATGCAATCGGCGATAATGTGAAACAGTAAGTAGTTTGCGTTTTGAGCTGGCTCTTCTTTACGGTACTCAGTGTTAGCTGAATGCATTGTGTCCAGAGTATGCAGAGTCTTCACGGTTTGTCATCTAGGCTATCTACAATTTAGCTTGCAGCTAGCACTCGCTAATGTTGGAACCGTTAAACTAATCTATGAGACATTATTGCAGCCGTTCCGAAAGACGCAACACTCAACCGAACACAAGACGTTTCTTCAATGCCACTTTGGTTTTAATAGCTGCTTCTGTAAAAAAAAATCGTGTAAATATACATATTGCAGCTTGGTAAGTAAGCTGGAAATCAAACCAAAGGAGAACAGTACCAAAATGAATGAGTAAATAAATGAATGCAGCTTGTATTTTATTTGCGTTTATATATCTGCGTTGCTGTGAAGTGAATCCTGCAAGCGTACCTTAAATGTTCTGACTGAAAATGCATGCCTTGTGTGCAGTTACTGGGCAAACCTGAAGCTGTGGTTCAAACAGAAAATCAGCAAGGAGGAGTTTGATATCGAGGCGCGCCGTCTGCTGGCTCAGGAAAATGGCAAGTTTCTCAGAACATCTCCTCTTTTAAGAAGTTTTATTTTAGATTTGAGATGTCTCATTCACTGTTTGTTTTGCTTGTCTTTCACAGTTCACGTACACAATGATTTCCTCTTGGCCATTCTCACAAGATGCCAGATCATTGTATCCACACCAGGTAGGAGTCTTCTATGTTGTGTATCCTGGTCAAATCAAAAGGGATTGTCATGTTTTGATTGTTTAGCTACTGATCAGACTGAGAAACATTAACCAGACAGGAGTAGGTGTTTAAGGGGGGAAAATAACACTGTAAAAAGCAGGAATGCTTAAGAAAAACAAGACAAAGATTTCCATAGTGGCACACATGCTTATCCTTCAATGTTTTTTTTCTGATATTTTGCCAAGTGCAAGTGTTTGTATCGTTGCAAGGCTTCCCAGAAATGTTGTTATTTGATGCCGGCTAGGGTGTTGAGGCTTTCAGCGCTGGGAATAATTCAAATAAGAGAAGCAGAGTTTCACCAGTCTTACACTGGAAGCATTCTGCTTCCAGACAGGATGACAGCCTGCGACTTTCTGTATCCACCAAGACGAAAATATTCCTGCATCCAACACCTGATCTGGGTTGTAATAAGCTGAAAATTGGAATTTGGTTCCACTGGATATTCTTTTCTTGAGATTTTAAATTCTCCTAATAAAGAAAAAGCACATCATAAGCAACATCATCATCTTCTTACCTGACAGTAATTATTTTCTTCAAATGCCTTAAAATATACTTAAGAAGTAGAGGGAAATAATGCTGTTATTAAAAAAGAAAAAAAAAGGATGGTGTCCTCACAGCATGGCGACTTCTTCCTATCGGACAGCCACGCACAGTCATGATTTAATCTGCTGGACAACATCTCTACTTGAGTCTTTTACACCCCTTTTGGTCTCTTTTTTTGTCCTCTAGATGTTGCTGGGCCATTACAGTGGCACGCCAGCTGTGCTTCAAACCCCGGAAAGCCTAAATGGAAGAAGAAATGTTCCTCCAGGCAAAAATTTGATGTAAGTGTGTGACGCTTGCGGCATCCGGTCAATTGTAAAGTGCGCCGATTCATTTTGGATGTGCTCCGTCTGTGCCCTCAGCACCGCTTCCAGCCTCACAACCCCTTGAGCGCCGCCCAGCCGTTCAGCCCCCGGGAGGCGGGGGGCGAGGAGGAGGAGCTGCGCCTCAGCGCCCACACTCTGCTGCTGCCCACGCGGGGCCAGATGGAGGCCCGCATGATGGTCACCGCCTTCGAGCTGGGCCTGGACAACATCACAGAGGAGGCCGTCGGCACCATGATCAACGCTGTTGAGGTGTGTAGTGGCCGCTCACATGGCGGTTATCCCATCGAACCCTGCTCATCCTGTCTTATAATTTTTACTCATAACAAGAAAAAGGGATGCACTGTTTTTGCATTCCCCCTCTTTTATGACTCTTTTAGGACGTATGATCCTGTAGGGGTTAACCACTACAACATTACTGTGGGGGTGGTTTGGTTTTATGGGGGTTGGGGTTAAACCCCTAACCAGTTTGATAATTGTCAAATGCTACTGTCAATAGCCCAGTCAGCTAGATTTTTGTGATTATTTCAGTTTAACAGGAGTGGGAAGTTTTGTGTCGCCCCTATGTTTATGTTTCCACAACAGCTGGCCATAAGTGTGTGAGGACACACAGTCCCCTTTAAAGCTTTATGTGTAACTCTTAAGGTCATATTTACCACCATACAATTTCAGTTCAGTGGCTTTTATTTGTCCCAGTATGGGCATTTTTTGTGCAGTAGTAGTACACATTCATACTTCACACATAAAAACACAAGAAAACAAATAAAATATTTAAAAAAGAAATACACACAAGGGCCACAGGCTAACCTTTCTCTCTGTTAACCTTTGAGGAAACGGCTTAGTTTGACCCAGTTGTTTGCTAAACAAAAAGCAGGAGATAGTGTCTGTAAAGTCATGAGACCATGCTAACTGTCACAAAGCTGCAAATCAAACATCCTCCCACCAAACATTTAACTGCATGGGTACAGATGTCAGTTTCTTAACTCTTTAAAGCCTGATCCAAGAATAAAACAAAACAGAAAATTACTTTTTTTTGTTTGAATTCCTTATGTGGCCTTTTAACAAAATATGTAAAAAGAAAAAACAGAAATACATTTTTAATATTAATAATTTATTACTATGCAATAAGTCAAGATTATTTTTTGTGTAGTCTTCTGCCCCCTGTTATCAGGTGCATCTGATTGTGTACAATAGGATTTTGAGCAAAGTTTTTACCATTAAATTATGCAAACGGTGTCAGACGCAAAACATTTTTGAAACCGTATGTATCGATATGATACATTTGGCATTACAGGGTTAAAAAATAAAAGATTGAAAAAGTGGAAAAAATCGTTTGAAGTCCCATACACTGGTGAGAAGAATTGGGGATATAAGAACACGAGTAGACATTGCACACTCCAGACCCTTAAAATCCCGATTACTCATATGACATTTAAGTAAGCAGTGATTCTTGCTGTTGGCTGTTTAGGATAAGTTAACAAGAAAGGTGCAAAAGGCACAATAAATTATTCCCCTATGCAGCGAGCCACCACGTAGTTTGGTATCTATGATGGCACATAATTAGTTGCATACCGGCAAAAAATACCTAAAAGAGAGGCAGGTCAAGTTCATATGTGTAGCACGTTTCGTGTACAAGACAATTCAAGGTGCTTTACAGAGAGTTTAAAAACAGAAAATGAATCAAATAATAAATGAGTTCACCACCCGCGTTTCAGCACCACCTGAAAGACGTCCTGACGGCCGTCATCTCCCGGAGGAAGGCGTACCGGCTACGAGACGGCCGCTTCCCCTACGCCTTCGGCAGCGGCGTCACCCCCCAGCCCTACCTGAAGAACAGCCTGGCCGCCCACCACGGCCTCAGCGAATGGTAGGCGCCGCTCGCCACCAGGGCGGGGGGGGAAGACGCTCAGACGTGCTCGTCCTCGCCGGCTGTTTCGCTTCATCCTCTAAACGGTTCAAACTTTTTTTTCTCTTTTTTTTTTTTCTTTTTTTTCTATACAACCAAGCCCTCCTCCCAGCGCCTCCCTCCCCGCCGGCCCCCCGCCCCAGATGTCCCCCGACGACGCCGAGCAAAAAGCCGTCCACCTGCTGGCCTGCTCCGCCGACGGCCTCCCGGCGCCGCTGCCCCCCATCAGCATGTTTGACCTCCTGGAGGCGCTACAGGTGAGCAAACGCCTGAGATCCGGGTTCCGTATAATTCGATCCAGTCGACTGCCTTGGCGCTCGAGCCGCAACGCCACAGGTCTGAAACGATGATTTACAGCTCATTCCCGCAGCCACGTGCTGCTGTGACCTCCTCACAGCTGGACAGCTTCCAAACCCTCTCTTTTCCAGTGTGTTTAAAAAAATAAAAAAAAGTAAATATACATATTGATGTATATTGATGATGAATACCACAATGATAAAAAGAAAGACCCCAAAATTGAACTGAATTCGACAGGTTAGTGTCTTTCATTTCAAACGTGCCTGTTATTGATGTTATCGTGAGCGGTAGCCCGCATTAATGTTGGCGTGTTATTAGTAGCCATTAGCCGCAGCTAGCAATTCAAGGCTAACGTCACGTTAATGATCATAAACAGCGTAAATAAATAACTCAGAGAGAAGGGGCGCAGCGTCTGCAGGTCAGCGTGGCGAAGGCGTGGGGGGGGGTGGTATTGATGCTTTTGAAAATGAGTATTGTATCCAGATACGTTTTAGTATTGATACTTATTTTTGAGTATTGGTACTTTTGACAACCCTATTTATGACACATCCACATCTGCCCATAACAGGTGTAGTGGTTGTGTGAGGTGAGGTCTGGTTTGGTCAGAAGAAAGCTCCAAGTTTGTGTTTTTGTGATTTAGAAGAGGAAAAAAAAGGTCATATGGGTCATCATGTGAGGGAGACGTCCTCAAAAAGTGCTTCAGCCAGCAGATTTTTCAAAACATTACCGAGCAACTCCAACGGAGCCAAACTGGAACAGCCTGAAGACACTAATTGGAACTTTTGGGTTGTCCACTTTGAGCCTTTCCCTCTGCGGAGCGCCCCCCCGCTAACCTCTGGAACATCTGTCCCGCGCAGGTCCACCACGGCGTCATGCCCTCCCACACCATGTACGCCCTCAACATGGAGCGCGTCCTGGCCCGCCTCTGGCACCCCAGCCACGAGGAGCTGGAGCAGGACCTGGTCCACCGCCAGCGGCTGGCCGGCAGGGACGGCGTGCCGGTCAGCTGAGCCCCCCCCCCCTGCCGGCGGGAGGGAGGGAGGGAGTGCCCGAGGGACTCCCGGAAGACAGGAGCGATCAGACGCAGACGTCTGGGCGGGGGGTTCTAAAAGCAGAAGGCCGGGCAGGACGCGCACAAGGCCGGGGGGGGACACCGATGACCACACGCCGGCTCTGCTCAAAATGGGACAACGTGGGGGTGTTTACAACACACCCCTACACGACTGTGACCTTCTCACCCCCCAAAAGTTTCAGTCGCCTCATAACAAGCTACATCAGCCTCCTCAGGTTTCTGCCATGTTTTTTTTTTTTGTTTTCAATTTAGTTTTTTTTATTTCACTTCAGCCTCACTTGCTGTGCACTGAACACCAAAGTCTTTTGGGATAAAGAATCAACTCTGACTGAGGTGGGGGGGGGTCAGGATAAGCACAGCTAGCATCTTATGTTTTTTTCTAACCACGAGATGCTGCGAAAAGCTGTTAAGGGCAAAGCTTTGCTTTTTGAATACTGCTGACTCAGGCAATCTGAGGATCTTCTTTTCTTTTTTCTTTTTTTTTACAAGTCGGGCTCATGTTGGAATATTCCCGTGCATGCGAGCATAACCGTGTCAGACGGGTGACCACTGTGACTACACCACGAGTCATTCAGCCCGGGAGCCATCCCCTTTCCCGGCGTGCGTAGCAGAACGTAGTGTATTTTTATTTTGATATACCGTGTGTTTTCGGACCCAGGACAGTATTTACAAAAGTATTTGGAGGAGTTTGAGAGGTCCCTAGTCCCCCAGACGCAGCACAGCTGTTTACCAGAAGGACGAAACCCCCCCGGACACTGATTTACACACAAGCCTGTTTCGCTTCGAGGGTCCGGCGCGCCGCCTGGACCCGCCGTGGCTAAAAGGAGAGTCACACGAGCCCCTCCCCAGTCAGCGGGGGGGGCTCAGTCAGCAGGCGGTAACTGGAAACACCTGCGTGGGGTTCCAGGTTTCCCCCCAACCCCCCCAGCATATGAAGGCCAGACCGGGTCAGGAGAGTTCCCAGAACTGTTCTTGTTTGTTTGTTATTGTGTGTTTTGTTTTTTTTGTTACAGCTTTCTGGCAACAATGTTGGTGGTCCTCAGTATGTGTACAGACTTTTTTTTTTTTTTTTTTTT